CTCAAAGACGCTTCACATGTGTCATTATTCATTCACTCCATACACGGTGGTGATAAACTACTGCTGTAGCCACAGCTGCCCTGGGGCACACTGACAGAAGCGAGGCAACCAGTATGCGCCATCGGCCCCTCCGACCACCACCAACCATTCACACACACACCAGACTCATTCTAGGCAATGGGGGTGAAGTGTCTTGCCTAAGGACACAACGGCAGTTTGGCACTTTACAGCCGCAGCCGCCCCACTGTGGCTGGTGTTCCCAGAGGTTAAGTGTCTTGCCAAGGACACAACGACAGTAGTCAGAGGGAGTCGATGGTGAAAGTCTTGAGCGGGGCTTGAACCCACGACCTTCTGGCTCAAAGGCCAAAGCTCTACCAACTGAGCTACTGCCGCCCGAATCAGGAAGGTGGTGTAATATATGAGGGTAAATATCCTCATAAAGTGCCTTCTTATGTTGCACTTTGTGTTGTTTTTCATTAATTATGTTAAATAGACATAATTGGATGGATGGAATATTCCATCCATCCATCCATCCATTTTCTTCCCCTTAATTCATTTCTAGGTCAGGGGGGGGGGGGGGGGGGGCAGTCAGAGCAGGTGCCGAGTCCACATGAGCTGTGTTTATTAAAAAGACAACACTTTTTTTTTTGAAAAATGAACCGAAAAAATGAACCGAAACGTGGCCTCTGAACCGAGGTACGAACCGAACCGTGATTTTTTCAAACCGTTGCACCCCTATCGATTAGTGTTTTATTAGCTCGGGGTGAGTGTGGAACACAGGGGATGTCCTTTAATAAAGACCTTTGTGAAGCATCCTCGGCCACCGGAGAAACAAGTATAAAGCCCAACACACGTTAGAACCAGCCGCGTCCCATGATCTATTATGTTTTTACTACAAAGCTGAAGCTGTTTGAGTTCAGTGGCATGTCCATGGTCCCAGGATGGGCCATCAGGGAAGGCCAGGGATAACTTTCACTATCAACATCAATAACTTGTGCACTTTATAGTTCAGCTTCAAGTTTATTAGGCCTCCCAAAAGAGACTGCAGAGCATCATTGCGGATTTGAGACAATGATGTTTGTGATAACAACTCTCATAAATAACATGTGGTTCACATTTTCTCCCATAAATCGTAGAAAGCAGTCGCAGCGGAAATCCCACATTAGATGCACACAGCTTCTCCTGAAGTCTGTGCTGCCCTAAAACACTGGACTTTGTACCAAAAGAACAATATGTGAATTAAATATAATTATTGTAGACGGTTATTTCATTTAACGCCTCTTAATGAATACATTATTTTGAAAATCCAAATACAGACATACACACTTTTGTATATCTCACTTGTAAATGGGATCAGATTATAATACTCTGCTCCTCAAAATAAAAAACAAAATATCCTACCGTAAATGGAAATGATGAATGTAATTGCTGACAATTTCCAATAATGGACAATTTAGCTTATTAAAGCTGCATTACCTCACTTTATTTTTGTATTCATTACGAAAATTCAATCCATATCTATGCAGTGCATCAGGATTTACTTCCTTTTGAAGAATAAGTAGCGCTGGCCCCCACTTTCTTGAGAAATCTACAGGTCTCGCACAGCCAGCTGAGGTAAACAAGCGGCGGAGGCTAACCTCAAACTTCCCGTGTCTTCGTTACCGGTTACTGCTTACACAGCGAAACAGCCATCCAAAAGAAAGTCTCGTCCTCTCCGCGCTTCCCGGTTCAATCATTCTATGGTCACGCAAATGTGCGATCCATATTGTGAGACGTGAGCTCCGTAAACAATTAGCACATGAGCACAGGCTGAGTGGGGGGCGATAGCTCCGTAAGTGTGGGGAGGGGAGCAGAAAGAGCGAGGCCAGCGCTCACATTCGAAAATGTCACAGAGTGAGTTAGTGCAGCTTTAAGAGAGCCGGGATGAGAAAACGTTAGTGCCACCTCCTTTGCGAGAAGCGCGGAGGGTCGTTAAATGCCGCTTGCGGCTTTATTTTTTCTTTCTTTTTTTCTATCTGTATTTGATGGTTTGATACTGATCCAGACCAGAGCAGAGAGTAAATCCACAGCAGCAATTTTAATTCTTATTTTAAGGATGCTAATGAAGCAATTTCACTTCAGAGCAGAGAAAATGATCCAAACCGAGCAGACTCTGACTACATCGACCAGAGAGATAGGAAGCATCTCAACACCATCTGCACCACCTCTGCTACTGTGACCTGTCCTGCTCCACCCAGCGGCTGCACCACCTCTGCTACTGTGACCTGTCCTGCTCCGCCCAGCGGCTGCACCACCTCTGCTACTGTGACCTGTCCTGCTCCGCCCAGCAGCTGCACCACCTCTGCTGCTGTGACCTAAAGTGCTGTTGCACTTTTTAACTATTGTAACTTTTAGAATGATGCATTCATTTGTTTGTACGTGTCTTCTGCTGAACATTTCTCCTCCAGGGATCAATAAAGTGTCTATATAACTTGAAAAATAAAACTTAATATTCAGCAAATAATGTCAAACAGGTGATAAATAAGTTAAAAACTGGTGGAACAAACCCAGTGTCTCATGGAAAGATGATTGGTTTGGTCTGTCTCTGTGCACACGAAGAGACAAGAAACTGCAGCAGGCAAAACACTGTCACACATTGAACATTCTAAATCAACATATACTGGATTTCAATGGATTTCTTTTTTAGGTCTTTGATTCAAGAACTGGATCATACTTATATATCTTACTTTACAATAGCCGATAATCCCATATTTTCACAATTTATGTAGTTGGGATTTATTGTGGACAAATCAGTCCTTTTTGGCACCACACAGTAGAGCATTGTGTGCTTTGTGCAGTCTCGTCATGATCACATTCAATTGTTCAAATATATCTTAATGCCTCTGTGTATTCTTCCACTGAAGATTTAAGGCCAAAAGCTTTAAACAACCACTACAATGACCACATTCGATAAATATAGTTTTGCGGCTCAAGAATGATTAAGAATTATTGTGTGTACTTTTTCTTTATACATATAGCTTCAGTAGCTTCAGTAATCATTTTTCTATCAACTTTCATTTCTAAACCTGAGACAGTGGCACATCAGCCCGTTGTGAGTGTTCTGTGAGAGAAAAGAGCGACAGCGGGGCATGAGGACAACTAGGACATGAGACTTATGTCAGAATTATGTTCAAATCAAAGTATATATTTAAAAATGTATCATAAGATAAATCTATGAATAATGTATTTATGTATGCCTAATACTACAATTAATAAAACCTTTTATTTGTAATATTTGTTTGAATGCTCCAGCTCAGAAAACAAATCTGTTTTCCAATTCCAATTCCAACTCTGCTATAAAACTATTGAACTCTGATGGAGGTGTTTGACTTTTGGGAATTGTTGTGTATTTATTGTGTTGTTTTGACTCATATTGTAACCTGCAGCTGCTTGAACTGAAGCTTTACTCACTGTGCGTTTGTGTAGTTTTTGTTTTGTTCTAAGATTCTGCTGCAGATGGATCAATAAAGTTTTCTGAATCTCAATCTGAATCTAATGAATCTAATATATATATATATATATATATATATATATATATATATATATATATATATATATATATATATATATATATATATATATATATATATTAAATTAACATCAAATATCAAATAAACATGGAGGGTTAAAAGCTCATAAAAGTCCCAATAGTTTTCATTTCTTATAGATACGACAAGAGACCTGTCCCTGCTGCTATCACCCCCACGGAACCTCGGTCTCCAAACCACTCTGGTCCACTTGGGGAAGTTCTCATCCAGTGCCCCGACTAGATGAGAACTTCTATCCGTGAAATTTTGAACTAGGAGTCCAAGGTTTTAAAAAAGGAAACAAAATAATTCCTTGCTATATTTTATTAAGATGAATGTTTTCCAAAATCAATGGAAAAGAAATTTCTAACAAAAAAACAACAAAAAAGGCCTAATAACTTTCATTGATATTGGGCGAACTCTAGCGGCCACATTGTATAGTGCAACGCAAGACGCATTCTAGTTTTCATATTTACTTAAAAACTCGACCTCGTTTGAATTTAGTTTTACGCCACACATGTTGTTGTTCAAAATTGTTGTTGCTTAATAGGAAGGAGTGAATTGCAAGTTCCCTTTCACTTTACAATCTCTTGCCAAATGTCTTTTCTTTGTTGTATGAATCCATGATAGTTTCACTGAGGCAATAGAGTAAACCCAGTCTACAGCTGACACAGGGAGAACATGCAAATCCCCAAAAGTGAGAGTCTGTCATGTGTGGCTGAAGAGGTAGACAGCAAATGTTTACAATACAAACAGTACATAGATGTCCTCTGAGAGATAGTCTCTGCCCGGTGTAATGAGCCTTATTAGAGAAACATCATTAAAGATTAAAATAAAAAAATATATTTTCATCATTATAATGAACCGCCAGAGATCATGTCTTATGTATTGACTGGATATAAAGAATACTTTAGCTTTAGATAAACATCAGGAATATATTAGGAAGATTCACATCAGGGTGTCCTCATTGTGTGATAATAACACATCCACACAGCACAATACAAGCTGAACATAAGTTAGGATAAAAGTGAAATATTGCTTTTATATTAGCCATAATATAAATGTGTGTGCCATAGCCATGGCACACACAAAACGAATACAAGCGAGTTTAAAGGTTTTTCTGTTTGATTTTTTTTTCTTATTTTTGCCCGTGGACGCCCATATCGCTGACGTTTGTTTCGTTTCAGTGGGAATAGTTTACTTTGAAGAGCGGATGCAAAAGGATCGCGAATGCACCTGCGTCTGGAATCCTGCTCTGTGATTGGTCCACTGCCGCAGGGGGCGGGAGCGTGCACTGCAGCCGATAGACTGATTAGGCAATACACCTGGCTGTCATACTCAGCGCACCTACCTGTCACTTCCTGCTGTCTGTATTTATCCATTTCACTACTTTGTCCATCTGGAGATGGCCTCGCACGTCACTGCCATGTTTGGATGATCGTCTTCGCGGACTACCGCAGATCTGCGGTCCTGCGGATTTCTCCCTGCGACCTTGGCTCCACGTTCAGTCGCTTATCCTGCTCAGAGGACCGCTGGGATTGGATCAGTCACCGCCAGGAGACGTGTAGTGTGAACTCTCACTGCTGCGGCCGCATGGAAGTGAAAGTGCCTGTTGTGAAGGTAGGCTTTAATGTTAGCTGTGATGCCCCAGTGCAGTGGCCCCACAGAGCCCCCAGTGCAGGCCTGGGGCTGGGAGAAAACCTGCTCCAAGCGAAAGCTGTCGTGACAGAAATCTGCCACACTGGGATCACAGACATGGCTGCTACACTTACGCATTCCCTGAAGCAAACGAATGTGATTTGTCAAACATGTAATAACATATTATTGCACTGGGTTGATCTCAGATGTGATTCTCCCCCGCGGAGAGAGATGCCCTGAGATACATCATAATGACGAGCTTACTCCTACGCGCTGAAATCTGAACAGGCTATTGAACGCAGTTAATTATGGGATGTGATCCATTTGGGCCTGAAGTGAGAAGAGTTGATGGATGCTGATGGAACCTCCTAACACGACACGAACTGAGCCTTTATGACAATGTAACAACAATAACAGCCCTTCAAGCCAGAGATACTGCAGTATCTCTGAGGAGACAACAACAAACTCAATGTGAGCACTTTAGGTGAAAACAACATCCTCTGAAACCCTCCGCTTGTTCTGTTTCATATGAGATTCTCTGCGCTGGGCTTTGTTTTTGTTAAAGCAACACATCCTCAATTGCAGTTTATAGGGATGAAGGGATGTATTCTAAATGCCTTTATAGGGAAAGGACCAGACATGCACATTACAACGGAGTCTCAAATACCACCATCCTCTTAAACACAGCTTTGTTGTATTTTCTCAAATCATAAAAATAGAACAGACCTCTATATGTTGCACATAACATTCATGTTGAGGGTGAAGTGTGACCAACATTGGCATCCTCTGAAATGGACCAGAGGGGAGCTGGTGGGAAGTGCCATCTGCTGTTCCCTGAACCTTCTTATTCTGATGTCCTTTTAACTGCTTTAATCTCTGAGATCTAACACCTTTTTCCTATTTGTGTGTACAGACTCCTTGTAAGCGCCATTTTTACATGTTTATTGTATTCTCATAATTTACAATATTTGATTTAATTTAGAAAATGTTATGCCAACATGAGATTTGATTTGAGTAAGTACATGGCATGCGCCATGCTCTTATGTTGTTGTTACATGTTGCTACGCAACAAAGTAATATAACGTCTGTACCTTTGAATAAACGAGAGATGGAGAGCAACACAGTTGTTTTACCGTCTGGTGCGACTGCATCTAATGCGTGAAAACAGGCTCAATTCATCTTTTAAAGAAGAGGGTAAATTTACAACTACAATGAAATCAACACAAGATTAGCCTCTATACTCCTGTAACATTATTACATTCATTACAACTAATTGGTTATTGAAATAGTTGTGAGTGAGTACTTTAGTTATAACACAAATCGTTGCTGGAATTATACACACACTATGCATGAAGAGAAATGTATTAATCTTTATGATGATATTCAAATGTATATTCATAAAAACCCATATTCAACGTCCTATAGTGTGAATCGTCAGGTTTGTGATTGTCAAACTAATGTCCATTATAGTCCATCAAGGTTCATTTGGTCTTCTGATATATTCTACAAGTTGATGTTGTTTTTTGACCAGAGAGGTTTTTTTTACCTGACAGTTTTGACTGCAGGTGCACAGTCTTCCTCAGAGTAGTCACTGATGTTCCTGTGTCTTGTCAGTTGTTTTACACTGTTTTTGGCACTGTCTTCCCACCACCAGAGGCAGAACGACAGCGCCATCTGCAGTCTAACTTATTCAGAACAGTAGTGTGTGAGAGTAATGAAGCCCCCTTGTCCTGGTTTATTGTCCTGGGGGCACGTTTCTATATTTCGATTGCCTCTTTTATCTAGCGTTGGTGTTTGTTGTCCTCAGCTCCTATCTTGGCCCCAATCTATAATACGATTGGGGCTGAAATAATTGATGCTATAAAACAGTCATGACCAAACCAAGGCCCAGGGGCCATTTGCGTCCCCATGTGTCATGTTATGTGGCCACCTACCTTTCTATCAAAAGTGAAGATTTTCAGATTATCCAGCCATCTACGTCTCTGTTATAGTAGATGCAAAGAACTATAGATACATGTGTAGATGTTATAGAAAGATTTAGATATATAGATATGTTGTATATTGAATTCAATAACTATAAATAATCACTATCTTGGAGTCAAGTTTAAAGAAAATGGCAAATGTAAAAGTCTAGATTGAGGGGAAACCTCTGAACATTATGTAACGTGTTCCAGCCGTTCCCTGCTCAGTGATCTTAGACCCACAACGTGCAATTAAAGACCGTAAAGCATGTGTCATCACGGCCACAACACACTGCAGATCCACACCAGCACAAAAGTCCAACTGCAGCAAACATTGGATCTGTGACGTCACCGCTGCTCAGGGCAAGTCAGGGATTCAACTGTGATTGTGTGAACTTAATTAAACAGAGGAGTTAATGTTACTTGGACCCTTTGAAAGAGGCAGTGTGTAGGAGAAGGTTTCAGACTAATAACAAAAGTACTTTTGAAGTGTGATGAATCAAATGCCACTGCAGGTCTTGATGAATTAACTATAACATCCGGGTCAGCGTTATTTTGTTATAGACGGCGTTGCCTATATACATTTGCATGTGTATGTATATGTGTATATATATATATATATATATAATTTTTTTTTTAACATATATATTTTTACATATATATATTTTTTTTACATGTGGCGGAAACGGGCTTCCATGTGAACAGGAAAAACAGAATAGAAACAGCGTAATAATACTGTGGAATAGCAGTCTTTTTCGTGATCTTTCTTTTGTATCCGAGCAACTTTCACAGTGATTTACAATATTTACAACCATAAAATATATTCACGGGCCACAGTGGCTCAGTTGGTAGAACATTGGCCTTTGAGCTTGAAGGTTGTTGGTTGGAGCCCACCACAAGACCTTCTCCACCGACTCGCACTGACGTCTGCTGTCGTGTCCATGGGCAAGACACTTAGCCCCACTTTGCCTGATCAGCTATTATCCTGTGGACTCACCACCTGCAGAGGATCAGTGAGGATCAGTGAGAGGCTGGTGCTCTGTGACTGGGTGGCATCTCTGACTGCCACCCCCCTGACCCAGAAATGGATTAAGGGGAAGAATATGGATGGATGGATGGAATACTTTCGCACATTCCCAGGCATACAAGCATTTAATACAAAATCACCCTCTTCCCCTCAGGTCACTGTGATAAATTGAGCCATCTCATTCGTGTTGGAGTCGTCTTTTCAATGCGAGCCGTTAAAAAATATTCAAGCGGAAGAGACCATTTTATAGCATAGAGGAATCAAAAGTAATGTTCACAGCGTGGCTTGAGCTTCACAGCAGAAGAAAGTCTGGGGATTGATTCCGCATCCAGACAAGCCTCCGGACAGGGCCTTTCTGTGTGGAGTTTGCATGTTCTCCCGGTGTTTCCTCTACCCCTAATGATTGATTGAATGGATGGTGATGGTTCGGGGCTTCATTGCAACAGTATATTCAGCATCTTGCTTCTGTCATCACTGTGTGTGGAGTGAATGGAAATGACTGGTTCACCAAATTGTAAAGCGCTTTGTGTGACCTTGATCTGTGAAATGCGCTATATGAATAAAGATCACAGACTTACTTTCGTTCCTCCAAAGTAACCTTGAGAGGAGCTCATCAACACTTTATTTATAACTCCAACTAGAACACTGTTCATTAAAGGTGATGTTCAATATGTTCACGGTTGCAACAAAATAGAACAATCTTTACTCTCAATATACATTAATTACCTCCCCATAATCTATTATATTATTGTCTCTGTTCTCATGTCCGCTGATTACACTTCCCAAATCAATGTCAAATTCACAAATTCCATGGTTAAATTCTCATCCCGGTTTGAATCATTTTAAGCTAAAATCCAAAAGTGCTGCAATGTTCATCTCAAGATCCAAAAGAATTTCCCTCCATATGTATGCACCAAAGTCTCGTCTCAGGTAACTATCCAAGAATACAAACACCTCATTAATTTAAATGAGAATCTTTCAAATCCTGCAATAGATTGATATGAAATGGCTGATATAGGATTTTAATCTACCGTCCAAAGCCAACTTAATTCTTTTATCTGCTCAATCACAAATGTTTTAGTTTCATCCATTGCAATTCTATAATTTGACTACAGGGGGCATTAGTGTCTTAAAAATCCGGTCACTTGTGTATTTGTCCTTATCTGCCTCAGTACAATGCACTCCAGTAACGAAGCAGATAGAATCATGTGTCCTTGTGGTTCATTTGTTTCTTTGCAAAAACAAAAAAGATTGCATCAGATTTAATCTTTCAAAGGTTCTAAGTTCTCTCATAAGAACAAAGCAATTACCTACTTCTTAGGGAAAGTAATTGTGATACCGATGTGAGTGGGCGATTTATTTGTGTGTGTGAAAGTGAAGCATGGGGCCTGGGTATTTTTGTCATCCTGTATGCTAGATTAAATAGAAACTAATGCATGTACAGTATTTGCTGCACTGTTACAAATATCTGTATATAAAGCAACATTTGATAAGAAATTCAAGCATTTAAGCCACACTTGAATGTAAGCTGCACGATTTCATTTTATAATTTAACACTTTAGTGACGGCTGATGGAGCAAAACAAAGCCCCTATAGAGGATGTAAATGTTTTCACTGGTGACAACAACATTTAATACTGAGGAGCAAAACATTTACTCAAGTTAGCAAGCTTACGTTCGTTTCCATGTCGGGACTCGTCTATTGAATTATTCATTTATCTATTTTGCCAATAAACAAGCATCCTAAAGCTACTAAAGCAGGATGGAGTCAAAAATTATCACTGAACTGTTTTGACGAGAGCCCAATGCTACCACAGATCAATTAAATGAAATTTCAATTCAATTTATTTTTCTATAGCTCTAAATCACCACAGTAGTAACTTCGGAGCAAAAAACCGTCAAATTTGCAAACACAGATCAGAGAATCAAACTGCTCCAACACAAGAAATGCAACAATAATTTTTTTTTTTTTTAAACACATAGAGCCATTAGTCATAAGGGGCCGATGACCAATGTCCTTAAACGTTTAGTGTCCTAAAATCCCTAGGACACTCTAAAATCCCAATTTAAAAAAAACATACATTGGTTGCATCACTAGAGGGACTCAAATACTACAGGGGCTCTTCTTCTATAACCTGGTACTGTGCATTTCTCTGTTTGGCTAATGTTTATTGTACATTGTTCTGTAAAAGTACAAATCCTACCATTGTGTGTTTCTCAGACATGGACCAAAGGTTATGTGTGGTGCCCAGCTGAAGGCCTCCTTGTGTGAGCATGTATCGCAGGAACGGGCTGTCGAATGGCAACAGCATCAACTCCATCACCTCAGAGGTAAGGAAGTTTGGAAACGCACTCTTCTCTCAGTCTGCGTCATTAGCATACGGCACGCAATTACTGACTGCTCTGTGTGAAAAGCTGGAAAAAGGTTATAAGCCTATTGTGATTAGGGGTGCAACGGTTTGAAAAAATCACGGTTCGGTTCGTACCTCGGTTCAGAGGCCACGTTTCGGTTCATTTTTCGGTTCATTTTTCAAAAAAAAAAGTGTTGTCTTTTTAATAAACACAGCTCATGTGGACTCGGCACCCCCCCCCCCCCTGACCTAGAAATGAATTAAGGGGAAGAAAATGGATGGATGGATGGATGGAATATTCCATCCATCCAATTATGTCTATTTAACATAATTAATGAAAAACAACACAAAGTGCAACATAAGAAGGCACTTTATGAGGATATTTACCCTCATATATTACACCACCTTCCTGATTCGGGCGGCAGTAGCTCAGTTGGTAGAGCTTTGGCCTTTGAGCCAGAAGGTCGTGGGTTCAAGCCCCGCTCAAGACTTTCACCATCGACTCCCTCTGACTACTGTCGTTGTGTCCTTGGCAAGACACTTAACCTCTGGGAACACCAGCCACAGTGGGGCGGCTGCGGCTGTAAAGTGCCAAACTGCCGTTGTGTCCTTAGGCAAGACACTTCACCCCCATTGCCTAGAATGAGTCTGGTGTGTGTGTGAATGGTTGGTGGTGGTCGGAGGGGCCGATGGCGCATACTGGTTGCCTCGCTTCTGTCAGTGTGCCCCAGGGCAGCTGTGGCTACAGCAGTAGTTTATCACCACCGTGTATGGAGTGAATGAATAATGACACATGTGAAGCGTCTTTGAGTGTCCAGAAAAGCGCTATATAAAAACCGATGCATTATTATTATTATTATTATTCTCCCGAGGAGGCGCTCCATTCTGGGCCCAGCCTCATTCACTGCATTTATTTAATTTTTGGCATTATCAGTTGTGACTGGGATATTAGTACTGGGCCTTTGTCTTCCATTCCTCCGCTGCTTGTGTCAGTACCTGCGCTGTGTGACTGTGTGACTGTCGTAGAGGGGGCGTGTCTGCAGCGCCAAACTTTTCATCTCCCAGTCTGCGGTGATGAAGTGAGCGGTTCCGCTCATGGATCTATTATAGGTTCCGCGGGACGTCCGAGCGTCAGTCGTGAGCGCAGCTGAGGATGCGCGGGAGAGTTGACTTTAGCCCGGTCTGACTGTGCGTAAAGGAGCTGCTTAAATGCCGCGACAATAAGCGGTCGTTGAGACGCTTTTTTCACTCATGTCTTTCTTGTGCCACAGTGCTTACACATCGTGACAGTTTTGTCGAATATTAATGATCAGTGTATTTACAGTGAAGCCAAAATGCTCTCATACTGGGGATTTAAATGACGCGTGGCTTTCAAGCATCTCTGTTCCTCCGCTCGCAATGACCGCGCTGTGTGTGGACTGAACAACGTGCGCACAACTTTTTTTTCATAAATCAAACCGCGGATCACGTCTGTACCGAACCGAAGACGTTGAACCGAACGGATCACGGATCAGTGATGAACTGTTGCACCTCTAATTGTGATGAAGCAATACAAGGTTGATATAGAAGCTTTGACATCGGAGCTCAAAAGACTTAAGAAAGTCTACAGGGAGAGTAAAAGTACAGCCATGTGTTTTGACCAGTACAGGCAGAGCTTGGACGCAATGATGGAAATGTTTGTTCACTGAAATCAACCAATGGATTTAGAGGGTTTCCTGAAGACAATATCTTTGTAGTTTACTTTTATTTTGTATGTATTTTAAGTTTGAACAGTACGCATTTTTTAAAATATTGTGGGAAAACGTCCCTAAAGTTATCATGTGTTTTCAAACAGTAATTGAATTGACCAGATGCCTATAGTCTCCAAAAATGTATTTAAAAAATAAACCAATGGGATTCGTTCATCCTCAACGAACCAATGGGATGCGTTTACCCCCTTCACCCTCTTCCTGTTTCTCGAGAGTGTGCGCACCTGAGTTATCGGATTTTCTAAATCCTATAATGGCTGAACAGATAATGCCAATTTCACGTTTGCCACCCACTCTCCCTGTTTTGACAAAGAAAAGAAAATGCTGGATTTTTGGTTTGGTGGAGAGGGGAGGGGAGGGGGAGTGGTTTTGAGTTGGTGCTACGGCTAAGCTAACAAAATGGCTAACTGCACCTTTAAGTTGAGTTAAAGTAAAAATGGGAGAAAATACTATTATTTATATATTCATTGTTTATTTGGTTGGGACAGTACATGTTAATGAATAATTTGCATCCGTTGTCCCACATTCACACTCACAAACACACACTCATTCAACCAGTGCTAGTAAGATCTGTATAATAAAGGTCTTTAATTTGATGGGTCCGCAGTCAGCAGAAAGTCCAAATTATACGTTTGAGAAGGGATCTGAAGAGTATTTTCTGTTAGATAACTCTTGTATGTGGGCGAGGGACTGGACCGGGGTTTGTGGGAGCCCTACCCTGCACATCCAGGCCAATATGATTATTCTGCCGACCGTTTCATGGAGTTACACACAGTAACTCAATGTCATAGTCTGTGCTTTGATGTATGTCGTGCATTAAAATCTACAGTGACATACATTTACAATCAATCAATCAATTGTTATTTGTAGAGCGCCTTTCCTACTCTTACTCTGGGCAACACTTCACAGTCCACATCACACAAGTAAAACAATCACCAAAAAACCCATTAAAACCCATTTAAAATCACACATTAAACTCACCCAAGGGATTAAAATAATAAAATAACCAGTGCAATAAATATATAGCTAAAATCCTTCAGTTGTATGCACAGAACCATCTTTACCCTGGATTGATGCATTGTATTGTATTGTATTTTGGTGTTGTTGTGTTATTCTTGTACGTATTGCACCTCCAGGCCAGCAGCACCTCGGACTCGCTGGACGGGCCGTGTGTTGACTATGCCAAGAGCTACGATGCCGTTGTGTTCGATGTGCTCAAGGTGACACCCGAAGAGTTTGCTGTAAGTTCTGCTCCTGGACTTGAACTATGTCTGTGTTCTGTGTGTGTTTGACTGGAGCTTTTTGACTTTCAGAGCCAAATCACCCTGATGGATGCTCCTGTATTCAAAGCAATACACCCGGAGGTCAGTCCTTGTTTAAGTGTGACCACCATATGTTTGTCTGAAGGGGGAACTGCTGACACGTCTCTCCCTCTTGGACGTCATGTGCCAATAATGTCCTTCACAGCTGTTGCCTCTGAACTGAACTTTCACATTCTCACTCGTAACCCACACGTGCCCTACGTAATATTTGTCACAATTTGAATCTTTAACATTTGCATTAAAAAACGTACATGTTGTAACTATTTTAAATCTCATGGATGTTGTGGATGTTGTGGATGTTGTCCTTCAGGAGTTGGCGAGTTGTGGCTGGAACGGGAAAGAGAAGCACAGCTTGGCTCCGAATGTGGTGGCGTTCACACGCAGGTTCAACCAGGTAACGTGAGGCCTTAACCTCAGCTGTTTTTATATTTTATAGTGATTTTTGATTCTTTATGCCCTCCATAGTGCTAAAGGTTTCAGCAAGTTGTCAACGGCTCAGTGCAGTAATGCCCCAAAATCTAGTTGCTTTCTCTTTTGACTCTTTGGAACTTTTGTTTCTATGGAACGAGCCTGAATCACTTCAATCTTATTGAAATGTTATTGTGACAAAATGTAAATATTTGTTGTGTATTTTAGGTGAGCTTCTGGTTGGTTAGAGAAATATTGACTGCCCAGACGCTGAAAATCAGAGCAGAAATATTGGGACATTTTGTAAAAATAGCAAAGGTGAGTTTACAAGAATTATTACAGTTACCACAGTTATTACACCTAAATTTGTGATTATTACACTTTGATATTGTGAGTAGATGCTGGTTTATCATTTATTTTCTACACACATTGACTTCCTAAGTTAGTGTAAATAAAAAGTAGTCTGTGCTCCAGTACATTTACATCGTGCCAGTTCTATGTAGTGGTTATTCACATTCTGTAGCTGTTTTAAAGCGCTGTGAGGACTTGGACAAACCTCCTCACTTAGGCACAGTAGCAGTATTTCAGTATTTCCGTGTGCTGTGAGATGGAAAGGAAACATGGAATTATGAGACAATGTTTTGGCAAACTGTGCTGCTTTTGATACTAAAACTGAAAACACTCATTCAGAAATCATATCTCCTTGCTTTACGCCTCCTTTTCTTTAATCAAAATCTTTTAAAAAGATCTTAAATTTCACTTGACACATTATCTTGTCCCGTTATGGTTAAATGACAAGGAAGCATGGTGTGGTTGTATGAATTTGGACGCAGCCTCAAAGCTTCTGCTTTTGCCTGCAGTCCTCCCAAGATATGAAATGCTAAATTAAATCAATAGAAACAAACCAGAGTGTAAAATGATGTGTTTTTGTAGAAACTACTGGAACTGAACAACATGCACTCTCTGGTGTCTGTGGTGTCGGCTTTACAGAGTGCTCCCATCTTCAGACTCAGTAAGACCTGGGCGGTAAGTACTAACACCAGCTTTGATTAGTGCTGACTATAAGAATATTGTCTAATAAAACTAATAAGACCTGTCACAATGATGACATTTCTAATAGATGACAGACAGAGATTGGGAGAATTGGGATCCACTTTATACCATTGAGACATAATCTCAGCCAAACATTTTAATTAGTCTTTCTCATTAAAAACCTGTTCTGAAACAGATAAAGGGCAGAGTGTTGCAAAAAATGAACCATAAGTAATTGAAGAACGAGGAGCAGTGAGGTTGTATGGTTTAAATGCACCCTATAATGCAATTTATCGTACAATCCAACACATTAAGCCTCAATGGTATTGTAATAATTGTGACAATTTAGGATTAAGCATTCTTGCTTTTTTAAAACTTCTATATAATTACTTTTTCATTGGACCTACAATGCTGTTTCCAAAAATATTTATGTTCCTTCATCAAAAACTGACCTGCAGTTGTTTTTCCATTATCCATGCAATAGCGCATGGATATCATCTGACTTCCCTAAATTCCTAAATTCGTTTAGGTAATTTCTCAGGTTAAATTGCATTCTTTACAATTGCAAGGCGGTGTTTGGAGCTGGTCATTTTCAAATTTGGAAAACAAACCATCCCTCTGATGGTAGCATAGGGAAATACACCATATATTTTCTACCAAGATATCTCACATTCTAAAAGATGAAATGACAAACTAAATGGTCTAATTACCATTTTTGATATCCAAAAACAATGCAAAATGTTTATTGTTGAAATGAAACCATGTCATATTACACAGATGTTGTATTTTTTTATTTTAGACTGGCAAAACAAATCTATCAACACATCTACTGGTCTCGTTGATCCCTTCTTCTTTGTTTTTGATGCAGCTGATCAGCCGAAAAGACAAGGCCACATTTGAGAAGCTGAACTTTCTGACGTCTAAGGAGGAGAACTACACGCGCATGAGGGAGTACATTCGCTCGCTGAGGATGGGGCCCTGCATTCCCTACCTTGGTACACCTTGCATTCATTCCATCACACTCACATAAAGCGACAAAGATGTGTCTGTAAATAGTCTTCCAGGACGTGTGTGCACATGCTTGTAACGAAAAGATTAGCGTAGTGTGTGGCCAAAACGAAAGCTTCATTCAAAAGCAGTTTTAAGAATTGAGACCTGTCGCATAGGAACCAGTCGGGTATTACTACACTAGCACAGCCAGTACTGGTTATTGTGTGTAGTTGTTTGTTAATGGTAGGTGTTTGCATTGGGACGAATCATCATGGTCACTTTCTTCAGAGAATACGCTCCGCCCCGGAATTCTGCCCAGTAGACTCCGTCCTGGTAACGACTGCGGTAGTGTCCTCCTCGGTACCAAACTCCATTCAGATTTGAGTGAGCACAGGAGTTGTACCACCAACCTCCCTTCTGGTAGTGGGCACAGTTACCTGTCGATACATACAGGTGTCAGTGTTGTCTCTGCTCTAGATTGCTGCACAGATCTGAGGCTGATCCAGTGAAGATTAATGTTTTACTTAATATCAAAGCCTATTGGGGATTAAAGAGCGATTTATGTATTAACGGAAGGAGAAGAACCCCTTGAGTAATTAAAGCTGGAGTACTTAACGGTTTCGTCTTGTCATAAATACGTGCTGTTTGTCCCAACAGAAAAGGGTCTGGTTTAAGTTGAGCATTTTGTGAACAACATGCTGTTTTTGAGACCCTGGGAACAGTGGAGGGAGTCTCACAGTGGCCTAGATGAGCTGGAGGAGGTGTGTGTGGATAGGGAAGTCTGGGTGTCTCTGCTTAGACTGCTGCCCCCTCGACCCGGCAATGGATAAAGTGGAACAAAATGGCGGTTTATATACTGAGAGCTGATTGACTGAGGACTGGTACTCTTTTTCATCTGATCTAAAGATATGACAATAGCCAAAAATACATGCACGTAAATACTAGTCATCGAACCAAACTGTTTTGAGAGGATCTATAGTTACATTGTTGTACTACATTTTTATCATTACAATTTTTTGTGGTTTTGAAGTTAAGTACTCCAGCTTTAATTGCATAAACAAAATCAGTATATGACCTTTACTTGTCATACGTTCCACTCACCAGTGTATGTGTCATGGTCCCGGTCCAGTGTGGTGAACTGCTTTCCGTTATGCCATGTTAGAGAATCGCCCGCGTTGCCATGGTATCGGCCAACGCGAAGCCGGTAAAAATCAGCCTCAGACTCGGTCCGGAAGCTGGCGTACTCTGCAAAGGTTTTACGGCCGGACCAGTCCTCCAGTGTGACCAGCAGCTTGTAGTTGCTTTGGCTTGTCAGTAAGAAGATGTTCTCCAGACCCAGCCAGTATTCTCCGTTGATATTCCCAAAGCCTTGCTGTGAAAAACATGGAAATAATTGTTTTTGAATTAACAACTTTTTTATTCATTGATTAATTGTTGACCGCAATACACAGACTTCTGTATGTGCTGAGATAAGTGATTTCTAGACTCGAACAGAGCAGGACCAACATACATAAAACTACTGCCGAGCTAGAAATATATGTTTATTTAAAATCCATCACGGTGTCCTCCATCAGGTTTTTGTTGTTGCCCCTGACTGCTGCAGGATGGTTTAAGGATTTACAAGACATTTATGCATATTTCTTTATTTTATTATGGAAATTGGTCTTCCCGTTCCCTTTGGACCAATGTCTCCTATGTGTTTGTTATTATTGCATTTCCTGGTTCAAACTGTTTGATTCTCTGATCTGTTGTTGGCGAATCAACAACTCTGTAATGTTTTCCCGAGACGACTGCTGTTGTGATTTGGGCATTCTACAACACATTCTGATCACACAAGATATAAAACTATGTATGAAAATAATTGCGAGTTACAGCCCATTGGAGAAGTGTGACTTTTTAAATACGTAAAGTTTATTTGTATAGCACCTTTCACAGACCTTTCACTGCTTCTTTTTTGCCTCTGATCTGTCGGTTTCTCTATGTCCAGTTGCTCAGTTTTGAGACTATGTTCAGGTTTACATCAGGTCGCCTCGCCGCCAGAAGAGATTGTCTCATTGGACTGTTTTGAGTCATCCAGGGCGGGATGGGAAGTGACTGGTGCCGGGGGATTGGTCCAGAATGTCATGTTTGGCCGCTCCTCTGTGTTTACAAGGCTGTTGGAACAGTTCACTGTTTGTCCTGTAGACGGCAGGACGGGATGCGTGTGTGTTACTACAAAGCACAAAAGCCTTCGCAGATTTATTATGTAACTGGGATGAAGGGGAAAAACATATTCTTGGACATCCCTCAACGGTCCTGGCCTGGATAACCTGCTTTTTGTAAAGTGGCCCAACACCTGCTGTGTAGATGTTATTGCTTTGCTTGAAATTTCACTTAAAACATGTACGTTCCTCTATTTATGGAGATATCAGTTGTAACGTAGCAGAATGATGTCACATGTTTGTAATGTCATGGAAAGAGAAAGAGAAACTGTTTAAATATACAGGCAAGACGACATGTCACAGACCTGGTCTGTGACATGCTAAGGAGTTAGGTCATTAGCCTCAGCAGGGTCGTTAGACCTGCTCCCTTCTACATCAAGCAGACCTTAGATTGTTTATGAGTTAGTATCAGGATTAGGGTGTGGCTAACCACACCCATAGGTTATAAATCTCCAACGCGCGGTCCGAGAATTCATTCCCTGAAGAAGTCCGCTAGGTTGAGGACGAAACGTCGGGAAAACTTGCTAAGAAGTACAGATGATGGGTGAGAAACCTTCCTTTGCTTTGACTAATCCCTGTACGACTGAGGGCTTACACAAAGAAATCAGACCTAACTTAAACCAAAAACATGTCCCTCAGCCCTCCACCTCCGGTCAAAAGCAGATTACAAATTTTCCTCCAGGGACAATGAATTATAACTTAATACCTTAATTAAAGAATGGCTTTAATTGTGTTGAACAAGTAAAATATATGAACAAAATGTTGCTTATACCTTATATGTCTCCCAGTTTCTGAAAAAGTTGACTGACCCATCCTGCCTTCTGAGGATCACAGTCCATCCGCCCGGGTCGTGCCTCATGTCACACCAAGCCTGAATGAGTTTGTTGGCATTTTCCGGTTTGAGCAGATACATGCCGCTGATGCTGTAGCCGTCATCCAGAGCCTGTAGACAGTCTTTGAAGGGCCCTGCAGAGAGAGTAAGGGGATAGCCTGCCTTCATCACATGTTAGCTGTGCTCTCGCCGTTGGAACAAATCCATGATCAGAACCGTATATAACATGTGGTCTCTGGAAAAGCGAGGCGACTCCTACCCTCGTCTCATTGTTGCCAAACATGACGTACTTTCCAGTCTGAAGTTTTGACCCTGGTTTTACGCATTCAGACATTCATATTTCCATTAATAAAACCACACTGTATCTTGAAAGATATGGCTTGGAAACGAATATACAGTACATGAAAGAAGGTTAAAAAAACATGTATGTTCTGTGTGCCATGTATAGTTTTGTGATCCAGGTTTTACACTTGCATTTCATGTGCGTGATCCATCTTTTCTATTGAAGCACAAATCTGTTTCCATTCCTTCAAAAGTCCCAGAGGGGCTGGCTTCATGTCATGGTAATTTTAATCTATCCTGAGGTTCTCTCTGGCACCTGTTTGGAAAAAGGTCCCAAAGGAGGGAAAGTCAGTGATGTAGACCTGGAAACATAAAGCGCAGTAGCCTGAGAACCTGCCGCATGCATTAGCTTTAATGTAGGTCAGCATGACATAGACCAGCAAACACGCTGCTTTAAGATTGGTCCTTGGGGCTCCATACCGGATCACATCATTTCTATTCCAATTTTATTACCAAATTTGTAAATGGTTCCATCTGGAGGTTTTTCTGTTTAAATCAACTATTTCTGCTTATCCCTGAGTAAAGACAGACTATGTACAGACGATACAGTGATTGGAGCTGATTGGAGCAGACACAGAACTTCTGCTTCTTTATTTATCATCATCATTTTTAAGATAAGATAAACTTTATTGATCTCACATTGGACACATAATATATTCTATGACATGATATATTCTCTCAGTCAGTGGAAACTTAGGTTTACGTAGTTTACGTATGTGTAACAACAATATTTCTATTGGCTCAATGCCACAATATTGAGAGAATTATTGATTTTATTACATTCTGAAAAGTCAGAAGGTTATCATTAACTGGTAATAATAAAACTGTATGTAAACCTCTGGTTTGACTGCTACTTTGCAGATTTCTTTTTGATCATTTCAATTGGATTATCATGTGTTAGTAAAACATACACAATATAACATTGTTTTCATTGTCAACATATAAATCATACTTGGCCTTTGGACATGATGGCCACATTAAAAATGTATTCAGTATTTTAGTTCAGAAACCAGAATTAGGGTTGCCAATTTCTTTAGTGAAATTCAGCTGGTATGATCACAAACCCCAGCCGGTAAAGCCAGTCAGAGCAAAACGTACACATACGATTTCTATAGTTACTTCTTACCAAGCTGATCTTCATTTACATGTTAATTCACCAAATAAAGAACCATTTATTATACTTTTTGTTGTATGAATTCACTTTTTTCTTACTGTTTAAGTGTGAAACACGTAGAGTTGTGTTTAATTCACATACTAAATGTCTTTATCGGAAGACATATAGTATGAACAGTTATAGTGTTTGTGACGATAGTGAAGTTGAGCAGGACTCACCCGAGGGCTCGTTGGTGAAGCTGTGTGTGGAGCTGGGGAGTGTGGGAGCAGGCAGAGGAGGCAGGGCCTTTGGGTTCTGGTCGTTCTGGATGTCATTGGTCATGGAGTTAGTCATGACATCGGTCATGGTCTTTGTGTTGTGTCGGGGCAGTGTGTGAGGGTGAAAGGGCCTATAGCCCCCTGGGGACAAAGGGGGAGTCTGAGCTGGGGGCTGGTGCACCACAGGAGGCTGTGGACGCAGATACGTGCTCCTGTCTCGCTCCACACTGACTGAAGGAGTGTAGCCTCCTCTTTTACAGCGCTCCTCCAGCTGCACCAGCAGAGAGCTCTGGTTGGTGGCGATGGTGGATAGGTGCTGGTACTTGAGCTCCAGCTCCCGGTAGCGAGTAGTCAGTTGTCCCATTTCATGTGTCTGGTTGAGCATGCGTGTCTCCAGCTGGGACACCTCCAGGGCGTTGTCTCTCTTGCGGATGATCTCGTGCAGCAGCTGCATGTACAGCTGTGTTACTCTGGAGTTCATGTTGCGGCTCTCTTTGCGCAAGAGTTTGACTTCGTTCACAATGCCACCGTCCACCTCCACCAGCTGCTGCAGAGCCTCTATCTGCTTCCTCTGCTTCTGCAGCTCCAGGTTCAGCAGCTCTAAGTCCTGTTTATGAACCTGGCTCTCCGGCTGGGTGCCAGCCTCCTTTGAGTTCACACAGATCGCACCATTGTTTTTCTGTTGTGGCACAATAAAAGTATAGGAGCATTTGTCTATTAGGGCAGAGTTTTGATCAACACTACGCTTATGACGTTGAGGGTAAATATAATCCTTCTCCAGGACATTTTCACTGCTGTCAATCTCTTGAGTCTCCTCCTGAAGAGAGATGAGGGGTCCTGACAGCAGCAGGACCAGTAGAACTTGGAGAGACATAGTCCTAGACTGAAGTCCTGCGACAGGGAAAATACAAGTCAATGCAAAGATCTGGGACGAATGATCTCAAAGTGATGCAAAGCAAAGTAGGAGGGGCCAAGTAGTTTTCAAAGACATCACTTTAATTGTCTTGTGTGTTCTGCATATACTAGTACAATTTTAATATTGTCAAAAAGTGGGAAAAAAGGTGTCTGTGAAAGTGAAATGTATTGTACATAGTGTAATTCTTTTTACTTTGTGAAAAAAATCAGGTTGTTCAATTCTAAATTTGGCGATGTACTTTTAGTTCCTTTAAACACAATGTTATTAATTTAATACAGCTGCCCGCGGTTAGACTAAAGGAAATGCAGGAAATCACAATTAGTGATTCTAACAAAGCATTGCTAACCAGAAAGCAGAGGGGGTGCCAAAAGAACCACTACACCTAACACCTTGTTCATTAAAGAGAAAGCCAAGGAGAATGCTTTCATCCACCACAGATGAGTGACAAAGCCAAAAGTGTGATCGAAAAATGTGTTCTTTGATTACATATTTATCTCAAAAACTCAATGATAAGCCAAATAATTATGTTTATGAAATGTTGTTAATTAGCATGGATAGCATCCATCTATCCAAATGGAAGGATTCCTTCTTCAGTACAGTTTACTAAAATAACAGTTGGATAAACCAAACCTCATTCGACACAGATGGAACAAATGTCAAAAAGCAATGCAGTAAAACAATTAAGATTAGGAGTCCTTTAATCGTCCCGCAGTGGGGAAATTTCAGTGTTGCATCACAAGTTACAGAACAGTAAGAAAAAGGAACAACTGTTTACAAAATATGTCAAAGTTAGCTTAATAAATAAACAAAGACAACACTACAAAATGATTTCATTTAAATACACTAAAGGCTTTTGTAAAATATCCATTTTATAAATACTGCTTTGAACCCACTGCAGGTCTGTAATGGATTTGAATTTAATTAGGGTTCAAGCATTCCCCTTCAAACATTAGAATGTAAAAACCTTTCCTTTTGTCTTTACTCTGCCTTAACATAAACATTGAGCCTAAAATAAAGTGATCTAACGTTGACTTGTAGTGATTAACCTCTGAAGTTGTCAGTGGGCCATCAACAAAGTCCATGCAGCTGAAAACCACTTCCCCGTCTGTCAGACAGCCTCGTAAAAGGTGCCAACAGACATGTTTCGAGAGCATTGTGGCTAAACTGGTCCCCTGTGCGAAGAATGAACTATCAATCAATTCAGGACTGAAGACATGACGCAGAATTTAAGGATGAAAAATACATCTGCAATATTTCATAAACCAGCCTAAAGTTTATTGAAGAGACCATTTAAACTGGACTTTTCCCCTCCCAGGATGTGACTGTGTCTCAGTCCTCACTGTGGACAAAGAGGTTGGTAGACGGTTTTCATTTAAAGTTATTGTGTCAAATAATGTGCCGTAAAATGACTGTATTTTAACCCAGGAATAATTTACAGTTTGATGAATGAATCTCTGCACCTTTGACTTTGTCTTTGTGTAAAGCAACAACAAAAAAAGTGATAAAAAAGGAATTAGAAAACAGTATAATTACGGCAAACCTCACCTCCTCTTAATTCCATGAGTTCCATGTATTTTGCCGGGTCAGGCTTCTGTCATCCACAAGAAAACAGAATCATTTTGTTGCATCCAAATAATTTGATAAAAGTCAAAGTCAGCCCAGGTCCAGAGTCTCCTCCGGTGGTTGTTCAGTCATCTGTTGTACAAGGCGCTCCTGCTGCCCTCCTTCCATCATAAGAGAAGAGTGTGTTCAGGAGTAATGAAGCTGTGCGCCCCTCCTCCTGATGTGCCCCCTCCTCCTCCTGATGCTCCTCCTCCTGCTTCCCCCTCATACCCCCCATGCCCCCCTCAAGCCCCCCTTCCAGGCCTTGGTCCCTCAGTGTGGTCTCTGCCCTAGACCAGTTGTTGTGGGACACAGGACCAGACGCTCATGTAAGCGTTTCCTGCAGAGACTGGACAGCTGGTCTCTGACTAAAGAAAAGTTCAGGAAATATGACCTCACAATAAAATGGAGGGATCTGTAGCATGAAATCAGATTCTTTGTCCTGGATCCAAGAAAAAATCATATAACAAAACATGATGTTACTGTGAAACATGACTGTATTTACCTGGACAAGGCCACGGTCAAGATTTAGTTTTTTTTTCTTTCATTTCTCCCAGCCTGTGTTTATTTGTTGTAAATACACCGGATTTAGCTCGAGGCGAGTTTTGATCCATTCTTCATTGCAACGAGATGCTTGGGGATTACGTATCTGAGCTGGACAGGCCTTTAAAGAAAATATGTTTATTCTGTTGCTATGTACAGTATGATGAATAATCTTTATTTCCAACCTACCTCTTGTCCCAAACCCTTCCTCTATTGAGAGAATAAATGGCTTTGATTGTGAGCAAGTTACAATGAATGAATGAACCAAGAGTTGTTTATTTTCTGTAGAACAATCATCTCCGTGAAGCTTAACATTTTGTCCATTCATCTTTTTAATCCCTTGTAAGTTGCAGGTCCAAACTTGTGTTCACTGTCTTTTGAGTGTACTCTGATTCACTAGAATACACACGCACGCACGCACGCACGCACGCACGCACGCACACACACACAGGTTTGTTAAATCTTTACTCGTTCCAGAAAATATGACATTAGTCCTTCTACGTTCTAAGTAAAGAAACCTCTGAGCTAGAACATTGTGAAACTTTTAGAAAAGGGTTTTATTTTTATTAGTATTTATTATCATTATGTTCAAGATTGAGATTTTATACTGTTCTTTGATGCTAGTTAGAGTTTTAGTTTTTATTTTAATTAGTACAGCTATTGTTTTTTTTATCTTGTGCTGTGTGCTCCTCATTCCTTCTGTTCTGTAACTTGTGATGCAACACTGAAATTTCCCTGCTGTGGGACAAATAAAGGATCTCTTAATCTTTATGAATCAATTACTGACTTTTCTCTGATCCATGATTTAAACAAGAGAGATGACATTATTATTGATATTATTGTCTATTATTATCATAGAATTAAACAGATTTATTATTGACGCAAGCCCTGGGTTTATTCTTCTGTGAAATCCTGCCGTTGAGTTATAACCAAACGCTGGTCGAGGTGCTAATGTTTCCACAAGTGCTTTCCAACTCCCGTTTCTCCCATCCGTCTTTCATCTTCTGTACGGCCAGGGCAGTAGCACAGCGGTAAGCACTCTGAGTAACTTTATGGTCGTTTTGGGCTTCTGTGGCTCTGTAGTGCCCAAATGCTGCTGAAAGACTCCATTCTTTGATCTAATATATATTAATTATACTGAGAAATGATGTATGTCCAGTATCGCTAGGCTGCATCTAGCGCATGTTTGAGAATTCAAGTTCAGCTAAACCACAAAAGCAGTTGCTGTGGTTGAATGGGAACTGTCTCTGGCCATAGATCACTCCATAGGAAACCTTTCAGGGCTTTCTGTTGAGAAAAGAAGACAAACACGGTGGACACAGGACAGGGGTCACGTCAGCCTCATTCATGTCAGTTTCCATTTGAGTGGTTCAGTATTCTGACGTCAGCCCGGACCACACACTGAGCCAGGGTGTCTGCTGATGGGGCAGAACCAGGGCAGGTACTGGTCCTGTCCCAGTCCTGGAAGGTCAAAGCATTGGACCTCTGAGCCTTGACATGTGGCCTTTTGTCTGTGGCCTCCTCCTTCTGTTTAGTGAATATTAACGTTAAATGAGATGTCCTGCCAAACTATAGTAAAATATAGACACGTGAATCTTAGTATTTGCATTCATTTTTGCGTTATTGTATAATTTATCGCACCATAATCACTTTAAAATGAGATTGACATGGTTTTTTTCTTCTTTTTTTTTTAAACATATTGGTTGATTAAGAATTAATGTGGAGTGGGGCATTATACTGATTTTTGTTATTGTTTGGTCATTTTTTAACAGTATATGATGTTGATTCTGGTTATTGAAATGCTAAATTGAATAATAGAGTAATATTTAACGCAGACTTTTTTGCCTGGACTTTATGGTTGTACTGCACATACTGTAGATGGAAAAATGGCTGATCAGAATATTGGTGGGTGTTTTTATGTGGGCTTTACAGTTTTGTTCCAGAGTTTTTAGTCTTCTGTAATAGAGCCACCCCTTGTATTTTTAACGCTATATTTTAATCCTTGCACATAATTAAATTAAAGTAAGTTTGCTGCCGCCTGCACAGGTGTGGCGTTGGTTTTTCGGCTCTTTTTACTGGACGTGTGTAACGTTTATAAATGCACATACTCCAGCATGCGCACCTGTGCTCTCTTTCCAAGGCCTCGTAAAACACCTTGGCTTTTCATATCTCCAGCACAGGAGATGATCCACACAATGTTTCCACTAAACACTGTCTCGTCTGAAACGGTCACGTCACTCACGCCACATGTGGAAAATCTACAGTTTAAGTTTTCCCAGTTGTTGGGGGATTAGGATCTGTGCAGAGTCATATTGACAAGGCCATTAATGCTTCCAGCGCTGCGTAGTGAGAGTGATAAAGCAAGTTCAAACCTGACAGCTGTATTCAATGATAAAATACTGCTTGTATGTTTGTGTGTCAATATTTCTAGTTAGCTCCTGCTCTAGAGCTTTAAATACAGCCACAGCCTGATCTTCATATGACATTTTTTCTGAATATGTTTATGAAGGAAATTATGTCAGATGAATATTCTCATTACAACTACAAAATGATTCCTTTTGATTCATCTTTGTGGTCAATAAAGATGAAGAGATCTTTTATTCGTGCCACAGTATCATTTACATCCAACTCATTTACATTCTGAGTGGAGTTTGCATGTTCTCCCCGTGTCTGCGTAGGTTTCCTCCGGGTGCTCCGGTTTCCCCTACCACTAAAAATATGTACATAGGTATGGCATGTGCCTCCTGTACTGGCACCCCCACCCAACAATTGTAAACCGCTTTGAGACTCCGATGTGCAGTGAAAAGGCGGTATATAAATAAAAGCTTACTAAAAAAAAAAAAGCTTACTTACATTTCCTTCAATTCTGAATTCTCCAAATTGAACATGATCGTTACCTTATAATGATATATAATAGAAATGAGATATTCCTAATAATAATAATAGTGTAGCCCTAATTCTTGTACGCAAGCATTAGATCCTTATTTACATGTAGTCATTATTTTTGTCATCTTCTATCCACTTAAACTGGTCTGATGCGAAGACCAGAGCCTTCATGGTTGTTCAGTGCTTGTTGATAGAAGCTTTTGCTGCTATACAATTATATGGCATTTCTTGATGGTTAGGTTTTGCTGGTTTTCTTGTCCCAATACACCAGTTTACAACATCAAACCAACATCATTAATCCTGCACCATAATCGGTGCGGTTGTGGGAGTGATTTTATGTATTTTATTGTGTGACAAAAATCACTGCTGCCCACATGTGTCCAACATTAGAACCAGCTGTGGAGCATAAACAAATGCATAACTAGTATTGTGGATACATGGGTCCTGTGGAGCTATTAAATGAAGTCAGGAGTCTCTAATTATACTTTGTCAAAACACAAAACACAGTTGGGGATTTAAGAGCAAAGCCAGACAAACGCTAAATACTGCCCTGCACTGGCATTTAATGAACCCTTTCCCCGGAAACCTTTTCCTCTCGTGATCTCTCAAAGGATTGACTTTATTTGTTTTAACAACCGCCTGACATGACAACAGCCTGTGGTTTGATTGAAGCTCAGGACAACTGTGGGTAAATATTTAAATGTGCTCTGGGTTTAGTTTCTGATGGACAGATCTGTGCAACTATACACCTGTATATTAACCCTTTAGGAGCTAGATATGATTCAGAAATAATAAACAGATAAAAGGTGGAGCCCTGAAACTTTTGAAGAGATGGAGGACTTTAAAAACCAGCAAAAAAAATTATGCCCTTTTTAATCCGGAGCACTTGGATCCTTATAAACTTTGATCAGGACACGGTGTGGTTGAATCCAATGCAGATAATGAATCTGTTAGCTACTTTATATCTGTGAATGACATTTTTTTTATTGCCACTTTTTTGTTGTTGTACATGATTATCTCCTGCACAGACTATATTTTTAACCTTTAACATGTTGCACACTTCTGTCTTTTGCACAATCTGAGTGATTCTATCTATGCCAAATGTGACATATACATTCCTCCAGTGTGAGATCAATAAAGTCTATCTTATCTCATCTGATCTTATGACAATGTATTTCCTATATTTGCTCCTTGTGCTGTACAGGGCCTTCAGTTTCCTTGTCGTTGACTGGAAGGCCACCCAGCCCTATACACTAATACAGTATATAGCAGTTTAATTCATGTGGTTTTGACTGGAAAAGATGTTGCTCAAAGACCAACAAGTCTGTCACTCAAGGTTTTTCCAGTGCAGCATGACGCCGCTTTGAAGAAACTGTGATTATTGGTTTTATTTGGAAAGTTGAGCAGAAGAATAACCCCGCGAGACCCATTCATTTTTACAGTTTCACTACGAGCAGAAGAATTTACATGCTGGCGTCTCACACTGGTGTTTGTTGGTGGTCGAACATGAATCTGCTTTGATTAGTCTGTTGAACAAATGTATGCACTACTGGTCTTTTGCAACAAAAACATATATTCAAGGTAATTAAATGCACACTGGTGAATATCAGACAGTGCTGTGCTACACGTGGAACATTTCTACTCAACTTTATAAACAACTGTTCGCTGTAATTAAGACAAATTATAGGAAAGTTTGTGACTCATCAGACATTGGCCATTTATTTTTGACACATTTCTGGTAACACAGTGGACCAGAGGGAAAAGTTCATTGGACACATTTGAGACCCATTGGGGGTTATAATGATTTATTAATGTTTGTTTATAATGAGTGTGTTGTTGCTTCAGGGATCTACCTGCTGGACATGATCTACATAGACTCTGCGTATCCTGCTTCAGACAGCATCATCGAGACGGAGCAGAGAGCCAATCAGATGAACAACCTGCTGAGGGTCATCTCAGATATGCAGGTGTCCTGTAAATACGGTACAGTGCTCTCCAGACTTCACTTTGTTATTATTGTGTTGTTATTGTCCTGTTCCTCTTCATATGACATGCATCTATACATCCTGATGCGGCTAACACTTTATTTATTCCCTACGGGGATAATTAAAGTTCACATTTACATCTAACTCGAGGCTCCGGACGAAAGGTGACCGAGCGTTATCAGTTGGGGCTCCTCGGCTCTGGAGCGACCGGCCCGAGGAGATGGGCTCACACCATCAGTTCACTTCTTAAAACCCACTTTTATCAAACACCTTAGTTTTTAACCTCACATTGTATTTTACTGTCTGTTTTGTCTTTGTTTTGTCTTTCTTGTTGTCTGTCTGCTTTTTTCTGCTGTATTTCTTTTTGATCTTACCGTTTATTGACTGTTTTATGCAGACTATGCAGCGCTTTGTAAACACTGTTTAAAAAAAAAAAAAGCTATACAAATGGATGTATTATTATTATTGTATTGTGTATTGTGTATACTCCCCACTAGTGTACTTGTCCTTGAACCAAGTGAAATCCTGGAATAAAGTGCAATCATAGCTACATAGCAATATCTTATTTTTTTTTATCCATCCATTCATTTTTTTCCACTTAATCCAGTTGTGAAGTAGGTCTCAAGGTGGGCTCGAACCCACGACCTTCAGGCACAAAGGCCAATGTGCTGCCAACTGAGCCATTATCTAATATCTTAAATGTTAGATCCTGTTTGATGTGTGCAACCTGAGTGCTCTTATTTCCTCCTTTTATTCTGCTGAAAGGTGCGCAACGAATGAAGGCTTATCTGATTTCCTTTAGATCACCTGGTGACGCTGCCACACGTCCAGAAGTACCTGATGTCAGTCCGCTACATCGAGGAGCTGCAGAAGTTTGTGGAGGACGACAACTTTAAGTAGGTTTCATGAACACGTGTCGGTCTGATGAAGTTTAATGTCAGTCTGAATAAGTCTTGAGTCCGGAGGTGTAGAGGAAACTGTTATCTGTGTCCGCAGGGAGCTCGGCTAATACTCTCTCAGGCCTCCGCTCTGTAGCAGCTGGATTATCTCTGATGTCTGATTTGGACACAACTGTAGCCTGTTTGTTTCATTTTTTTGACCTTGACAGCAACATGAATTCTTAAAATATTTGTGAGTTTACATAGTGCTCTTTGAGGGCCACTAATATCAGTCATTCGCCAAGTCATAAGGTTAGAAGGATTGTATACTTACTGCTATGTACTTTTTCAGACTTAACCTTTTAACAATGTAACTTTTTAAGAGGGAAAAGAACACAGTTTCCCGTATAAATGCACGGATTTCTTTATAAGACCAAGCACCTGTCTACAATTAGCCAATGCTCTAACTTCTGAATAATAGTTTTCACATTGCAAACACACACAGTTAGCTAGAGTTTGTCCTGCCATGACCCTATTCTAAATAATCATTATTTTAGTATTGTATTATCCGACTGGTTGTATAATGTTAATACAAATACAGTCTCTTAACTGACAATGGCACATTTTTATCTATCAATGTTCATGGTTGTGTGAAGCATTTCTTGTCAAAAAATATTACGTTTTATATTTATGATGACAACAAAAACTACTGAAATGACCCTGATCACAAGCTGCCCATTCTTCTTGGCAAAAATCCTCCTGTTCCTGTAAATTCCTGGTTAGCCTTGCATGAACTCCACATTTGCAAACACCAGAATCAACTCAATGTTATCATCTGACATTGTATGGCGTCACACAATCACTATTGATGAGTGAGAAACTGTATTCATTGCAACTGTAACTGAAGAATAACATTTTGACCTTTTGTTGGGAGACATGGCTATGTAATTTACACACTGTCCCTTTTCGAGTCACGGTCATGTGAACACAGACACAAATACTGTACTTACTGGACTATTTAGCAGACCTGTGTATAAACTACATTTAGCTACATTTTAAGACAAAGTACATTTTGTCCACATACAGGTCAGCCTTGAATATAAGCTGCCAGTTTTCACGTTGTAATGTAACACTTTACCAACAGACACACTAGACTCAACTCAATGTCTCAAATGTGTCCAGTCTCAACCTGAAGACTTGAGGAAATAGGTGAGAATTAAAACCTGCAGCCACACCTGCCCTTTCTGGAACCAGTTTGACATCCCAAGATTAGATGATAGAGAACTGTATAAACTGGTCACTGCTATAATGACGTTGTGTTTTGACAATGCTGAAACTTGATTAAGTCAAAACTCTGATTGTAGCTCTAATGACAGTCCTGTGTATTTCTCCAACACCCGCGTCCGAACCATAGACTCTATATTTTAACGGACAGAGTCACGCCTATCTCCGCCGTTCTAACTAATGGGCCAAAAAATTTGCTCTACTGGAGCAATCCAAAAGGGCCGTGAGTGGTCCCGCCCACAAGAAAATGGTGAAAAAACGCATCTACGCATGCGTCAGCCGGAGCAGCTCCATTCATTTGAACGAGAGACTTCAAAAATTCACAGCGAGTAAACTAGAGTGGACCAAAAAAATTCACCCCCCTCAGCATTGACACACATGTGGAACGGAGCTTTGGGCCAAGAGCCAACTTTTGGACCATCCTGTAAAGACGTTTTTGAGAGGTCTGCCAATGCTATATATTAGCATTGGCTAATTCTACTTCTGGGTCCACCCCCATCGGCCCGGGGTGGTATTGCAGCATGTCAGCGCACGTCATTTTGGCCACTTTTGAGCTGGGACCCGCCCCCACTGGTCCAAACACTTCCTGAACCCCAGGGGGAGCTCTAACAAAATAAAATACATATTCAATTCAATTTATTTTTGTATATCCCTAAATCATAACCTTAGTTATCTCGTAGGACTTTACGATTCTCCAACAATGAGCATTCACTGACCATTGACTGTATGTAGGCCGCAGCAGCAGCAGCAGCAGCACATGTACAACAGCTGTACAACAGTATTTATTATGAACATTTACTACTGCCACTGTTCTGTCTCTGTCTTTGTAGGATCTCTCTGAAGATTGAACCAGGAAACAGCTCTCCTCGTATCGCTTCATCGAAAGAAGACCTCACAGGTGCCACTTCCACTTTAGACTAAACATAGGCAGCTGTTCCCACAATCATTTCCTCTCCCTACACCTGTCAACAAAAGTCAAAAGCACCCCTCTATTTTGTTAAGTGAGCTTTTGTTAACATAAATGTAGATTAGGGCTGTTAGTTTTTTTACCTTTATTTGAGATGCATTCTGTGATTTTTTTTTTTCACGCTTTTTTTTTTATATAGTGGGAAAACGTCCCTAAACCATAAAAGTAGACAAGTTATCATGTGTTTTCAAATAGTAATGGAATTGACCAGATGCCTATAGTCTCCAAAAATTAATCAAAGATATTTTAGAGCGGACCGACAAAAATAAACCAATGGGATTTGTTCATCCCCAACGAACCAATGGGATGAGTTTACCCCCTTCACCCTCTTCCTGTTTCTCACGAGCGCGTGCACCTCTACATCCATGGTGCACCTGAGTTATCAGATTTTCTAAAACCTAAAAGGGCCAGAAACAGAAAATGCCAATTTTACGTTTTCCACCCACTCTCCCTGTTGTGACAGAGAAAAGAAAATGCTGGATGTTTGTTTTGGTGGAGAGGCGAGGGGAGGTAGGGAGTGGTTTCGAGTTGATGCTACGGCTAAGCTAACAAAACCTTTAACCAGTAAAGTCCCATTGAAATGAATAACTTCTTTTTCAAGGGAGTCCTGGACAAGAGGCAGAAAAATGTACACAGTTTCATACAATTACAGATTAGAAAAACCCTTGCTGTTAGCTAGATAGAAAGAAAACATTAAGCTACCACTGCTGCTCTTTATTTCATGCTAAGTTAACCCTAATTCGAAAAGTGCTGCATTAAGAAAACGTGACCAGTTCATCCATTGTCCGTTGCTCTGAGAAGTCTGCGGAGTGTCGAGGGAAGCGGAATGAGCTAATGCATCTGGAACAGGCCAGAAGCTGGATGCAGATCAAACTGATGAAAAAACATGAACCACATCAAAGTGCCACCTTTTCAGTGTGCTACGTCTAAGTGATTATTGCAAACTGAGACCCCAGCAGCTTGAAACAATTGCATTTCGAACTGATCTAGTAGCGGATAGTACATAACATCTGTGGTTTTAAAATAGTAACGTTAGGGGAACAGTTTAGTGGTTAAAAGCCCTTTGTTTTTCTACTGTTGCTGTGTTCTTGCTGTTAGACAAATCCTTCAATCCAATACATTCCTCAATACATAAATCAAAAGAAGATTGGGCAACTATTTTCAATGTGTGCAAACAATAAACGATAAAGAGTTGTTGTCCATTCTCGCTGATGCAATGTCGGGTTCGTCTCCGGTTACGTCATCGTCAAACGTGCATCTGTTCAGGTTTATATAAAAGTAAACACAAAGCCCAGAGTCCAGGATGTGCTTAATGTTTGCCCACAATCCTGCAGATGTAGAGAGGCTTACGTCTGGCCCTGTAAAAGGTGTTTGGATCGTAATATTCCATCACCAAACACTATTTTTTCAGCCCTGATGGAGAACATCCCATTACCGTCCACGATGGATTACACACAAATGGATGTTAACTAATGTGGGTGCTTAAATTGAGAGAAAATGCGATCGCGTTTCAGGCTAATTGTTTTTTATTATTGAGTTGTAATTGTGCAGTGAGAAAGCCGGGGCTGACTACATTGTCCCGAGACCTGAGCCGATGTTAATCACTCTTTGATTACAACAGTGTGTCCAGGGACCACACTGATCACTTTCCATAGTCTCATGTCCGCATGACCCGCCACATGTGGGGGTTTGTTTTTGGTGTGTTCCCGTGGTGACCGTTCTCGTTGTCTGCTTCCACTTAAGACACATTCTAGTCCTATGTGTTATGGCTCGAATGGTGAAATTAAAGTTTTACATTTCGCAGCTCCAGTGGGTAACGGACCAAAACACACAATTGTCAGTATCAAGCTGGAGTCCAAATGCTTTGTAACATGTTGGATGTGATTTTTATTTTTGCAGAATCGAGAGTGAAATGCTACTAAAAGGCTGACTTAACCCTATAATGGTTTCCTCCAACATTTGGTGGTCTCTAGATCTACTTGAAACCTGGAAATGAATTACCGCTTTGTGACATCTCACTTGTTTTCAGGCACTTTTACCAACAAACTGCATCTCAACCATTTTGTAAAGGCCAAAAAACCTGTGTTATTAAAGTTCCTACATCTTAGCAAATCCAAAGAAAAAAACCATTGCTTTCTTTAAGGAGTGACTGTTGAAGGGTTAATATTAAACTGATATTGTTGGTAATTCAGTTAAGCAATTACTGTATAATGACACATGAAGAAGTTTGCTTAACCTTAGGCTTATAAATCATTTTGCTCTTCTGAAAAATAAATGCTCTTAGCAAACATTACATCAAATATGTTCTCATTTAGTTTTTGGATGTCGCTGAAGAACTCTTTTGAGAAGCACATTGCGTGAGGCGGGTTCAGTGACATCAGGGAACTCCGCAGTGATGACTCCTCTAAAAGACACACGTTACGCAACAGTTGTGGTGCGTTAAATGACCGATCGATGTTTAATTTTCATTAATTTGTTATAAGTGTGGACAGAAAAAACACTGTTTGGCTCAGAGGAAGGAGCTGAGTAAGCATACAGCTGCTCATACAGTTGGACTCAAAGAACATTATTCATGAGAAAAAGTTTCTTTAAAAGCTTTGACCACAAGGATCTTCACATCTTAAAAATAACACAACTGACACAGGACACATTGAGGAAAGGAAACCATTTCTCCAAACCACTATAACATTTAAATAATATCTTTGTTTATAAAAACTCAAATTGTTTTATTCAAACTAAAATGCTTTTCTCGTGTACTTTCAGCTGCAATCACTGCTGACGAGGCACACAAACCACATATTTATTAGCTTAGACTCAACTAATTATGCCACTTTAAGCCCCATTTGCCTTGGGGAGCCCTTTATAAGCCACATTATACGGACTCCTACAATTTGGTAATGATGTGGCGCTGTTAAAGTTGTAGATGAGCAAAGATTTTCCCCTTGTAAGCAGGAGAGTCTTGCTCACATGTTTAAACAGATTCCATACAATACCACCATTTGGAATGTTTGCACCGCAACAAGATCTCCACGTGGATGCTTGGCTCTGCTGTCTCTCACGAAAGCTAATGATTTGTGAGAAAACATGGCTTTTTTGGGAATTATTCGTTTTCAGACAACTGTTTGGCACTTTACAGCCGCAGACGCCCCACTGTAGCACCTGGTGTTCTAGAGGTCTCCCATCACACTATTGATCAGGCCCTGCCCTGCTTTGCTTCAGAGGTCTGACAGGATCTGATTTTCACATGCAGGTGGCATTTAACTACAATAAAATAAAAACATACTGTTCCTTTCAATATTACCATGGGCTAAAATATCTACAACTGAAAAAGGCTTCATCTTATAATTCATTAGATTCATGTCATTAAAGTTCCCTAATGATGATCTACATTGCATTCTGCTCTAAGGTCCAACTGAAGTCCTGAATTAACAAAAAATGCAAGTGGTTGGAATCCATGATGTAAGGAATATTAGACTGGAGACTTGGTTGAAGGAAGTTCTTAATACATGGACAGACTAAAAAGAATACCCTAACCCTCCATGTAATACAATCATTTTACAGAGTTTATAAAGCGTCTGTTTGTGTTTACTCTAATAGGACAGTGTCATAATCCAATCGGAGCCGCAGTCTTACGAATAATCCACAGAAACATGTCACCACAAGTAGAATTCTGTACAAGAGATACATTTGCAGTAACAGGTCAGCATTTCCAGTGGTCAGAAGGTCTAGCTCTTCTTTCATTCTTGGCCTAAGTTTGGACAAGTGTTGATATCCTAACTGACTGAGGATGTCCGCGGCCACACAAGGACTCACAAAATCGTGCTTTCACCAACTATTGCCTTCACCTTGTACATTTGATATCTGTATGAGCTAATTGTGAGAGACTGAGATTTGTTTTTTTGAAGATTGCACTGATCTTTTCTATGTCAATATAGAGACATTTTCCATAAATGTTTTATGAAATGTACAATAACATCAGCCGGCCCCGGGACTACAAGTGGAAATGAGCACTTGTACTACAACCCAGCAGAATGTATCCCTCCTTTTGAGGTTGATGTTCATTGCACATTGTTCCTGTTTATTTAAATCATGCATGTTCAAACTAAGGTCTGGGGAACAATTGCGGTCCTCTGCTTTGCTAACACAAAATTATCCATTACAATAACAAACATACCTTCTGTGTCATCCAGCCAAGTTCATTTGTAGCAATGCAGACATACTATACCTCACAGTAAAGCTCAACTCTGTCATTGACTTTGTTTGACCCATAGACTCTAAATATTAACGAACTTAGTCATGCCTATCTCCGCCGTTGAAACTAATGTGCCACAACTTTTGCCTTCTCCGGGCTTTTTCAAAATAGCTGCAGGAGCAGGGAAATGTGAAAAAAAAAACCACACTTGCGCATGAGCACCATTCATTTAACGAGTGCACAAAAAAGTCCACAGCGGCTAAACTAGACTGGTCCATCCTGTAAAACCGTTTTAAAGAGGAAAGAAGACGCCATACTAGAGCACTGGGTAATTCTTATTCCGGGTACACCCCCACCGGCCCGGAGTGAGATTGCTAGCATGTCAGCGCACAGTATGCTTATGGACCTTTTAGAACCAGGACCCGCCCCACTGGTTTGACCATACCAACATTTATTTGGGATCATGGCACAAAAATGCATCTATGACTCAAGTTGCTAATCGTTTAAAGGTCAGAAAAGCTTGAATCCAGTAAAAACAATTGTGCAATGCAGCCCCTGGACAAGTCTGGAGAACTCAAGTGTTCCTCTTGATGAAATGTTCGATGTAAATAAATAAACAAACCAAACTAAACCAGAACCACTTATATGGATTTGTTTTAGGTCTGTCTGAAGTCTCTGTGTCCATGAGGTACAATCGCCGACCAACGTGTCCTGATGCGTCTGTGGGAGTGCGCGTCCCCAGCCCGCCCCCGTCTCACCACCGCAAGAGCCACAGTTTGGGAAACAAGTGAGTGTCCCCTCCATCACAGCTAATATTTACTGTTTGTTTTTTTAATCAAAGATGCACTGCGTAACTTTTCCGATGGATCAGCCACTTGCTCGACTCCCTCTACATGTTTAGGCTGAAATCTTTCACAGTATAACTGTATCATCATGTACACTGGAGATAAGGGACTTCCCCAGGCTCAGTTCCAGGTCTTGTCTGTGGAGAGGCGAGTCGGCTTACTCTATGAATGTTTATTATCAGTGACAACGTCTGTAAATTCAGAAAGTTTAACACAAATGCGTGGGTTTCAGCATCCTGTTTCATGCAGCTTTATGAAGACATTTTGCTTATTTTATAGTTAATAATCTCTATGACAACGGTTCTCACTTTTCATGCAAAGCAATAAGATCTCCATGGTTACAAGTAACATTAGAAGAGTTGCATAGACTTTAATTATGATCTCTATATTATGTTTTTTTTTTATATATGTAAATATTTTTCAATATATAATACAGACTGAAGTTTTTGCAATAATCTTTGTTCAAATGAATAATTCTTTTCACTGGCCTTGTCTACAGCATGATGTGTCAGTATGGCATGTCTGAGAGCCACAGCGCCACTTTCCCCATAGAGAAAGCGCGCCACCTGCTGGACGACAGCTTCCTGGAGTCTCAGAGCCCCGTGCGCACCGACCCTCACAGCACATCAGTGTCCAACGGGCTCTCACTGGGTTTGTGGAAACAGCTCATACTCACTCTCCAGACGCACAAAGAGTTTATTTGGTTTATTTCATTCCTTGTTTTTCTTTACAGGAAGCAGCGAAAGTTCTTTTGGTGAACAGTTGTCTCCTGGAATTGGAGAAAGGTGAGACATTCAAACTATTGTTTATTATTTATTCTAATCTGCATTGACTGTGACCTCGTGAATAATCAGGAGCCGTATGTACGCCACTCTCGGACCAAACTGGAGAGTCCCGCTCCGCACCTCACCCCGAAGCCGGAGCTATGTGTTCAGGTACCGAGACTTTTTAAAAATGTATATCATTATTATTCTATTTTCTGTAGTTATTTATTTCAGGCAAACACAAGAGTGACACAGTTTTTATTTAACATAAAAACATATTTGCAACAAAATACTTCTTTAGTGACTGACTTGACTGACAACAAAACCACTGTCCTCATTAGATATAAGTGACACATACGCACACATTATTGTTTTGTCTCGTTCTCTGTTTCAAAAGAGTGATTTGACTTATAGTTTTTTATGGAACAAAAACAAACACATTCACTTTGTTATTAGTTCTTCTTCTGGAAACTGCTATAACTGCTGTGAGGCCAGTGATGTGACCATCGAGGGCCCGCTGCGGAGGAAAACGCTGCTAAAAGGGGGACGCAAACCTAAGGTGACATATTTAACCAGGACTCGCTATAGTCTTGGTATTTTGTCCAAAGCAAAGGGAAAGAGTTTTTATTTCTAATTTATTTGCATTTCTTTCTTTGAATATATGACTAAAATGTTAGGAAGGCTAAAGTTAAATATGTTGATTTATTGTCATGAATGTAGTTGTTAAAATAGACAAATAAATAAATACCCATTCATTCTCCCACTCATTCAATATGAAAAAAAAACATGCATAAAAATAATATTGCACTAAGGGATAAGGGTTCAGGGTATGCTAACTTGCTCTGGGACGAAATACCAAGATTTTAGACAGTCTCCTTTTTAGCACAGCCCTCAGCAATACAATAAAATGCATGTGTTTTGTTGTGGTTGTAGCTATCATCCTGGACAAGGTTTTGGATCTCTCTATCGGGAGCAACACTCACTTTTTATGGCGCAAAAGCCCTTAGAGCCTCCGAGCGAAAACATGTAAGGTTGAAATTATTTTTTTCATTTCAAGTTGTCTCACAGTTGATTTGTAATGTCTATGTTTTCCTGTGGGTGCCAGTATAAGTCCAGTCCCTGTAAGAAAGTCTGCGTGACTGGGTGGATGGTGGTTTTACCAGACAATCCTGCCCGACCTAACATTTTCCATCTAAATGACCCAGATAAAGGTACAGTATGGATTTATTCATGTGACATCACAATATCCCAAAGAGGCTATAGTTTAAATTTCTGTGGAGGGCAGATAAAAGCTTTCCTGGACTGTGTCTAGTCTTTCAACAAGAATCTGAGTAGTAAAAAATAGCCTAGTCTAGTCTTGTGCTTGCCAAAGGGATTAAAAGTCAAATTAAAATAAAGACCCCGACCCAGAAATGGACTAATAAAGGGGTTGAAAATGAATGAATGAAAAATACCCATTAGGGTCTAAAAGTGTATAAATGACCCAGGGCTGGTCAAGTTAGGAAAAAAGCATCAAAATTCAGCTTTTCATTTAGGGTATGTTTTAATCACTGTTAAATGTCTCTATTTCCTGAGCCAAAGTTCAGTATCTCCTTTGTTAGTACATATCTACTGCGGCAGGGGTCTCCAACCTGTGACTCGGGAGCTACCAGTAGCTCGCCAGCCTCTTTCAGGTAGCTCACCAAAGGATCTTGAATTAATACATTTTGAGTCATTGCATATCTATCTATTATACTACCCTCTTAAGTATAAATATAGGGTGTTACAGTATTACAGTATATTTATGTGTTTTCCATGTTTATTATTACATAGATTTTTTGTTACCACTGCAAAAAGGAGTAGCTCTTTTGTTGCATGAAAGTAGCTCTTTGATTGAAAAAGGTTGGGGACCACTGAACTACGGTCTAATTATTATCTAGAAGTTGTCTGGAAGTGGTGATTCAAAAATGAAGGTAAATACAAATGACTTTCAGACATAAGAATATAATGCTGGGTCTGTGAATATAATATAATAACTATCAAATAATGATCTTGGAAAACAGTTTCTTTAACATTTCTTTACCATAAAGTTGTATTGACTCCTGGCCTCCAACTGAAATAGATTTGTAGAAGATGAATGCAACCGATTGATGCTGCTGTGAAAAACTTGCCTGATGCTGTTGAGTTGTGCCTGTATTTTTCATTTTAAATCTCCCTACAGGTAATGTTTACAAGTTCCAGACGGGGTCCAGGTTTTCAGCGATCATCTGGCATAAAAATCTGGAGGATGCCAGTAGAAGCAGCCGGCCTCAGGTACAAATAAACAATTCGGCAATGTTGCTTTGCTTTGCAGATAAATCCTTCTCATGAGTCGCACACATTTATTTCAGATACCAGCAAACCTGATGTCATTTGAATGATGGCGGGAGATATTTCTATGCCAAAGCTGCTCAGACTTGGATCAGAGACGTGGAAAGTAGTCTAGTCGCACACCTGAGCTGAAGACGTATGGTGTGCTTGGTGTATTTTGCTTCTTCTGTTATTGTGATGCTGCTGTGAAGATGCCATGGAGCGTCGTGTCCTAGCCCATGTTGGGTTTTCTGCTGAGCGAGGTGGCGTGTGCCGGAGAACAGTGTTAAGTGTGCCCAACCCATGTGTTCAGTGTTATTGGGACTTTAAAAATGTGAATAATAAGGAACTATTGTGTTTTATTTGCATTTCAACTGACATCTAAAAGAAGCAGCGAGGCAAAGATCTGCTTGAAGAAAAAGCCAGCTGGGAAATGGATGATGTGGCTAAAATACTATGTTCAAAAAGCCTGAAGATCAATGCTGGCGGTGGGCAGTCCTGGTGTAGTTGGAAGGTAAAGATAGACTGTATATTACATAGATCCAGGAACCACAAAGATGAATGTAATATAAAGTCATATTCAATTCATTTTATAGTTAACACTCGATTTTCACAAATGTTTAAACTAAAGCAATTCTCTAAAGAACCATGCTCTTACAATCATGTCCTTGTAAATACTGTATTTATTTTCATTTTTTTATATATATATTTTGTGTATTTGACTATAATACATGCGTGAAAAGAGCTTTCATGTTCTTTTATATTAAAGGCCTAAGGTCTTCTGAAAATCCTTCTAAATGCAAGTTTAAATGAAGCCAAACAGAATTCATCTGCTGCTCCATGACTTTACCATGACTTGAATTATAATATCACAGCCTTCAACACTAAAATAGAATATACGGCAGTGTCTTGTGTGTCCATACTAAATGTATGTCACTAACGGATTCACAAACGTTTTCATTCATTAAATTATTATCTAATCTGAGCCAAATAGAAAAAAGGCACCAAATGAATGATTGCTCCATGTATTACTCCACTTCTTTTTCCTATAGGCCATTCCAGATGGTGTAGTTTGAGGTGTTATAAATGTGCTAATTCATTTAGTATGAAATGTCTGTAATATGACCAGTATATCTTTCATCTGCTTTGTTTCATGACTCATAGTTCTATCCTACTACTAAAAGAAAACCTTTGTTTTGTTATTCTGAGCACTTTTATGAGGCATGTTGCTTCAAATGTTTGTAGTTTGTAATCTTTGATCAGACCAGTCGTGTGAATAACCATTATTGGTTACTACTACTATTTGAGCGCCAACATTAGCAGTGCTGCTAAGTCGTAGAGCTGTTCAAATGTCTTTTAATTGTTGTTTTAAACCTGTCAATCCAAGTATGAATTACATGATCACATGAGTGGTCGGGGTTAACACTTGTTCATGAAGTATTGCTTTAATATGTGTTTACATCAGTTTTTATTTGAATTTATAGTTTTAATACATTTTGATATCAAGTTCAGTTCAGGAGTTGCATGTGCACATGTTTCTCGTGTCATCATTGAAAACAAACCACTGGATTGTGTTGGAATGTATTTTCCCCTTTTTATTTGATAGCACTGCTCTTCGTGGTTGTATTTTTCAGTGTCATAATATTGATTCTGAATAAATTGTACATACAAATAACTTGCATAATTGAGTTTAAGTTGGTTGCAGCCAACTGTGCGAAGAGTCATAAACAGAACAAAAGTATTTATATCCTACATTTGATTTTACTGTACATATTTTTACAGTGCTGTTGTGTGAATATATTTGTTGTATAACGAAACAACTGACAGTGTATAAGTATCGTCAAGATAATATCAAAACCCAGATTGACCACAGGAAGAGCCAAATAAAAGCATAAGACAGCACCTTTTACTCAATATGGCTTTTCAAAGCCTAATCTTTGTAGATTTCTTATGACAATAAAATGAATACACAAACCAGGACACTGTTGTGCAAAGTGCCAAAGCTTTAAAGATTATAAACTTGATGTTTAACACAATTAACTTTTCATAAAAGCGACTCTCCTAATAAGTCCAGATAGGAATATGCTGATAAAATGAGTTTGACCAAAAGTATTATAGACAACGCTGCCTCTGTCTTCAGTGCACCTGCTTCACGTCTTATCTATTTATGTTCGAAATGAAAAGGCACATTACAAAATGTAACATTTAACCCAAATGTCCAGCAGAAAATGAGTTACGGTTCCCATGATAAACTAGCACTGTATCGACATTGTTCAATGAAACCAACAGCTGATGTCCAAGTTGCGGTTCACGGTTATTTACAGTACCTGTGCTTAAGGCAGGACCACTTTAAAGTATAAGCGTTTTGGCAAATTAGCTACATAATCTGATTAACATCAAGATCAATTGTCAAAAACATTTGCATTTAACAAACGTTTAAAGTGACAGTGCTAATTTGCCAAAAACTTGACCAACAATGTACATGTAGATACATATATTATAGTACATGGAATTCATTGGTGCGTGTGTTTGAAGTGGACATGATTTGAAGTTAATTGTACAAGAGAATTCCAAGTGCAAATACAGGGCATCAGAGTGGATTTCTTAAGAGAATTATGAGGAAGAAACTGATAAAATGCAAATGCTTTGGTCCATGCATCCTCCATCTTGGCTTCAGTTCATGTGTTTATTTGCAAGGTGTCCAAATGGAATAAGGATGTGTCTTCTATCCATTCTCTTTCCACAACACTAAGTGAATGCTATGGTCGGGCATACTTGTGGCAAACACCAGCCCCGAGTCATTGCCACCATCCAGTCCATTTAACCATGATGTCACACCAGCCAGAAAACTAGATCCTCGTTTGGACTTCCTATATGCTGGCAGAGGGTAGCGGCCCGAGATGGCCTCTGTCCTTAAGTCCAAAACGTAGAGAAAGTGGTTGTCAAAGAGCAGAGCAAACACCTCACCATAGCTCAGCAGGGACAGATTTGCTGGATCTTGGGTTTTAATTACCCTGAAAAAAATAGACCCTTAGGACTTACTTATCAAACAAAACATAAGGAATATCACACAAGACAGGCTTACCTAAGAATCTCAAAGCTAGCAAAGTCCCATTGATAAACTCCCAGATCGGAGCTACAGATAATGTAGCGCCCATCAAACTGCAGTCGGGGCTGAAGGCTGATGCTACGGTTCTCCGAAACAGACAGTGTTTTTAGACACTTACAGTTGATCTCACGCCCCAACGGCCAGACCTAAAATCGAATCAATCATTCAGTTCACAATATAGTATCAAGAGAAAAATCCAAGGTAATGGTAAAACTGAAACCTTAATTTCATATTTATCGGCACTCAAGAGGATATAATCTCCAGGACTATGAACCACAGATTCGACTTCACTTTTCTGCAATATCACCTAATGGACACACATTTAAATATATAGTGGGTTTATTGGCATTAAAATATGCAATAGTATATTAATCTTTCTACTACCTTAGTGACCCACTCCGTGTGTCCTGTCAGAGTGTTCAGGCAAATTCCAGTTGACAGGGACCAGATCTTTACAGAAAAGTCGGCTGAACCACTCACCAGCATGTCCATCTCATCGGTGTAATCAACACTGAATACTGAACACACAAGCACATTAATACATTTTTTGAGGTTTGCACTACAACACAAATATATTATTAAGTAGTAATCAACCTGCTCCAGTGTGACCACGAAACTGCTGGATTTTAGCTCCCGTACTCCACTCCCAGCATGCAATTGTGTTGTCAAAGGATCCAGTCACTAGCTTTTGCTCATCAAACTTTACTGTAGCACAAGTGTGCGTTTGGATACCATAGATGCATTGCCCAGTACGGACATCCCATAACTTAGCAGAAAGGTCATCAGATCCTGAAAGAAGACAAAAAGGATTTGAGAATCTGCAATCCATAGATCAAAAAATTCTTTAGATCAAGGTAATTTCTAAACAAAAGAGAATAGAAATATCACACATATGTAGGGGAACATTTGTGGAAAGTCTTGTTGCTGTACAAAAAGTGTTTTGGATTCACAAGCTATAAGGGCTTTATCAACATTAATTTATTTAAGAGACAATGAAAAGACACTGCAGGTTACTGTAGTTAATATTGGCTACATTTTTATGGCCTCTAATTATGTAACCCCAGGTTCACCAGGCATCACCACCTGCAGAGATACCACAGCGCTTCTGATATTTTGCATATGCAGTCTTTACCGACTTGGAGGCGGTAGCGCCTTTCGCAACACAAGAAATAATTTCTATTCAGGACCAGGTAACTATGGCCAATTACCATTGGAGCACATAGCCTGAGTGCAGCTTCAAAGTAACAGCAGTGTTCTAGTCTTTGTGTGAGTGGCACACTGGAGGAGATCTTCACTTCAATTAAGAGGGCGAAGATAAAAATCTGTGCAATGTGAGTAAGGCAAAGGGCACAATGATATCCAAAAACACTCTTTCACAAGAACACAAGTTCTAAATCCAATGTAGTAAACACTGAACATTGTTGTGTACCTGTGCACAGAAGACCATCCTTATAATAAAGCGCATACACTCGCGCACTATGCCCAATAAGAGAGGACGTCTCAAAGGCTTCTTGGTCTTTCAGCTGCATCATTCTTCGTTTGGCCTTTAAATAGACTCCTTTCCAATGGGGTGCATCCTGGATAGACTCATCAATCCTCCAGCCAAGCTCACGGCATACGGTCTGCCAAACCTCTGTGCATGAACTAATCACCTGAAAACAAAAATTATGTCTTTAGAAGTTATCTTTATGTGTGTCAAAGTCTAAGATAAATTGTGAATACAAACCTTATTCCATTGTTTGCAAACCAAGCAGCAGGTGAGAAGTGTCTGTGGATCAAGCCATTGCAGCAGATAGAAGGCCAGCTCCAGAGGAAGCAGGCGCAGGAAGTCACGCTTGAGCAGCGTCTCTAGTCCATTGGACAGATGACGAAGCTGAACTGCACCGCTCAGAGATATGAGCTGGTCCAGAGCTTGGATACGTTGTTGGTCATTAAGTGTAAGAAAAGCAGCAGAGACTGTCTCCAGCCACCCCTCAAAGACCTCCTTCTCCATGGGCACATGAGAGCAACCTGCAACACCTGGAAGAAAGCGAGACATATGCCCACCAGATATAAGTCTTGGAAATCTTAAAGTGAAAAGATTAAAGATGACAAAATAAGCGACAACAAGAAGTTATGAGTTATGATCAAGCACTGATACCTGCATAGTTAGCAACTTTGGTGGGCCACCAATGGTGGTGATGGCTAACATTACGTTAACATTAGCTGGTAAGGTTACTGCAACATACTATCAAGCGGCGAGGCTAAACGACATTACAAAATGAATCCACTAACAAAATAATCTATAATATGAAACTATATACCAACCGGGTTAGTGCAGAGCTTCTTTGTTTGCAGGATAGTTCACATGACGAAGCTAGCTGGGTTAGCTTAACTGGATGTCAGCAAGTTGAAAGGATTGTCGGAACAAGCTTTGACGCTGACGCTTACGGCAACGAATCAGACCGATAGTATTATATAATAATAACGTTAGTGAAATAAAAATATATGTATCTTGCATCACGAATTTGTAGGTTTTAAACCAAAAAGTCTAAAAATATGACAGGACGGAAATCTAATAATGGACACGGGATCCATCTTGCCCCCTGAATGTCCTAATTAAACCCTGAGATTTGTCTGACAGGAACCAATGGTTTGGATGGATTGATATCTGAAGCGAGAATCCTTATTGTGTGAAACATTAAATGTCCGTAAGGATATATTTATGTTTATTGTTTTAAAAGTTATATCAAAACTACCTTTTTTGTTCAACCAATTAGACATACAAAATTTAGAATAGTTTCGGGGAATATGTACCCGAGGAGCAGAGGCAGAAGCAAATTCTGCCCTTCCGCTAGATTTGAAGGTACGCGAGTTGATAGCTCTGTAAAAGTTAAAAAGGTAAGTACACACATTGGTTAATCACGTTACAAATAGTAATAAACAAGATTTATCCACAATCTTTTTTCAATTAGAATACAAATGATGCTCGAGGCACATCTCATTGCTGAATTTAAATGTTTATTTTAAACACATTTTTGATTTTGTGTTTGGAAGATGGGAGCTTCTGCTGTTTTATTGTTTTGAAGATAAAACCGCCTATGAATTTTTCTTTGTGGTCTGCTTATGTCTCAGACTCAAGCATTCATTCATTGTCAAAATAAATCACTAATTTATTGAATTAGAATGGAATGGATGTTAACATAAATATTCTACCTTAATCTTTAGAAAACATGTACAATAGGTAAAATCCTCTAGCTTGAAGCCTGATCAGCTCAAGTGTTTGACAATCAGGGTGCTCTAGTGGCAATGCAGGATGGGTCAAAAGCATAGTGTAGTAGATCAATAAAGGGTACCTCACGATACGATACGCAATACAAAGCTCACGATAACGATTATATCACAATAACGATTATATCACAATAAAGATTATATCAAGAAATATGACGATTATTGATATATTGGTCAGCAATATACCATATGCCAAAATATGGCATACATAAAATAGAAAAACGTTAAATGAAAAAATACACTTTTTTTCATGATAAATGGAATGGAGATGTGTAATGTAGCCATATATTGAGTATTGATACTAATAAAAATAAAAACTAAATAAAAAATTGATACTTGGCAAATGCATATCGATAATCGATCGCGGGAGAAAGTATCGCAATATATCGAAAAATCGATATATCACCACACTCCTAACCTTAACATAACTGATCAGCCCCTAACAGGCCTTCAATCTTTTATAATGATTCCCAAAAATCCCTATGAGAAAATAAGATGCATGTATGTGTCATCACAACATTCCAAAGTGTACTGTTGTGATGTCACAAGTTAAAAAATTGAGGTAGAGGGCAGATAAAGAATCTTTCTAGGTAACTATGACCACTCGTCTTAGTTACCTAGAAAGATAACTTTCTAGGTAACTAATTAGACCATGAACTAATAGTTCATAAACATATGAACTATGGTCTAACTAGTTTCTCATAATGGTGTCTCAAAGTGGTGACGTATGCATGATGTTGGCCAGAGGAAAGGACTTCCAGTGATAGGAACAATATGGCCGGAATGTGGCTTTAATCACTATCGAAAAATGATCTGGGATAAAAAAGTACTAAATAGAAGTTAATTATTACTTAATAATTACCAACAATAATTACTGTAGTGTAATATAAGATAAGATAAGATAAGATAGACTTTATTGATCTCACACAGGAGAAATTTACATGTCACATCTGGCATTGATAGAAACACTCGAGAAGAAAAAAAAATGTGCAAAGAAAGAAGTGTACAAACATGTTAAATGCAGGATATATTAAGTACAATAAAAGTGGCAATTAATGAAGAAACAGTGGCAATAGTAGTCGTGTATAAGTAGCAATATTCAAATTCATCCAAATAATTAAAATTCTTCAAATTGTGCATCTTCAATTTCTAAGAGTACCAAAATGTGTCAATATTTCTTTCAAACATTCAGATGAAGTAAACAAAAAATGCTTACAATTTGTCCTGTTACAATCTGACCCTGGTTTGATTATGTCCTAGTATAACTTGCTCCACCTCATCATTGCACCATTTCTTGTTAGATCTGTTTTTTAACATTTTGGAAGGCACCATATTCTTTTTTTATTTTCAAATGCTTCTCCAGTAGTTTCTCTATATGGAGAATTCCACAAGGCTTAGTGTGGGGCTAAAGCTTTTGTCGCCAGAATAATTCACATTTTTGGGCCCGTCTCCTAATCAAATCCCAACATTGGGTTTAAGTAAAGTGAGAAACTGCTGTGACACCTTTTGTGTGTTGAACAAGAATCTCAATAATCTCTGCTTGTTCAGCACAGCACAACCCACTTTTCACACTTCTCTTTTCGTGAGCTAGTCAGGCACCTGTGCTAATGTTTTACTCTAAGAATGTCTAAGAATAAAGTATTATAATTATTTATGTTAATGAATTAATAAGCAGACTTAAATAAAATGACATTTATGGTTTGTAAGATTTATGAAAATCTGAAAAACATGGACAACTCTATAGAATGTCTAGGTCTTTTACTGTGTAGAACTAGATTATTGTTGTATTCTATATTTTCAGTTTTATCTGGATTTAGTTGCAGCAAGTTTCTTCTCATCCAGTCACTGAAAGAAGAAGAAGAAAATGTATTTATAGCACACCGTTTATTTATGAAACTCAAAGTGCTTCACAAAGACAGTGCGACAAAGACATTTTGTCAAGGATAAGAAAGTTCAAACAGATGAGTTTTTATTTGACCCTTAAAAGAAGTCAGTGTTGAATCACTTGATCGCAATTCACACTGATTCACTGAGTTAATGTGTGAATAAAATGTGAATGCACCTTTACTACGGCCTTGGGCTTAAGATCACATGAACAAAGATGGGCTACTTTTATCCATCTGGTGTGTTTTTAGAGAGTAGAAGTGTGTAGAAATGGATGGATGGAAATCATGTTGGAGTCAAAGAACATCTCTATGGAAACCAGCAGGTGGCAAACACAATAAAGTCAGGGGCAAACAGGTTCTCCTAAAGTAAGGCTGGAAAGTGTGTTTTTTTTATTCCTTACACACACTTATAATGAACCATAAAGTTGTTTATTTATCGCTATTTTTGGCTGATAAGTTAGTCCTTTTATGTTCAGTCATGTGCTTCTAATTTGCACTGATGGCATTTCGGTGTTTGGTCCAGTTGGTGCTGATGGAGGGCAAAGAGGGGTAACAAGTTTCTAACAGACCAAGTGATGGATGTCTGACCAACTAAGGGACACTACGAGGGAATTAAAGCTGTAGCCACTGACGGATTGTTGAGTGAAAACCTGGTCAGGAGTCTTTAGGACTTCACCCATCAGGCGTCTACTGAAAACTGCAGTGCCACTTTTATTGACCACTTTCCATTAAAAAGAGTAAAAATGTTCCAAGGGTTTTGTTACCATTTTATGTATGTCTATTATGAAGAAAAAATATGTGAGTTAAATACAAATTGCCCATGATGAAAGATTAGTTTAAAGTATGTATATCAAAACAAAAAACACACTAATATCTCAAAGTATCCCACCTCTGACCCATAATCCATAATTTGATGCATTTTTATTCAATGAAAAATAGAATCAACTCTATTCTCTTTGGTAGAAGTATCCTTTACGTGTCAAACAAAGTCAGACAGGGCAAGATAAGTGTATTAAATTGTAGTTTCACAAGGCAACCCAAATTCATTACACAAACAAGACAAAACATAAATAATAATTACAACGCATTTGCTGCAAGAGGAGCAGTTATTAAATCACTTGAGTTACACCTGTCTTCTGTGTTGCAGTTATCTTCCTGCTGATCCAGACCATGTTTTGGTGGTGCCCGGCCGCTCTCACGCCTGATTACACGCTCAGAGTCATGAACGGGCAGAGCAGAGTGTGTGTGTCCACTGCTGCTCTTACTGGCCCGGCTGCAAATGTGTCTCCAGACGACACACGCACTTCTATCTCACAACATGTCAACTTTTTAGAGCTTTAAACTTGCTCCTGACCGGTGATCCTGGGGGTCCTCAGTGATCCCCTGTCATAGGACACACCATGGAACTTGGAAAGGTTCATCTAAACCTGAAGACGCTGCTACTCACAACTATGATGTTCAAATGGGGTGAGTAAATACAACATTGCTGAACATACACATTGATACATTCATTATGTTAGACAGCTAATACCAACTACAAACATATGGTCGCGTTTGCATAATTTCACTGCAATAGTTCAAATTCAAGTACAAGTAAGAACTAATTCTTGGACGAACTGTGGGAACCTTATGTCTTATTGTGGGTGCAGGTAGGAATGCTTTTCAAAGATGCCCCATGAGTGGTTCATAAGTGGTGTTTGGGCGGTGCTTGTCTGCCTCCCTCTTTACCATGCCAGGAGCCTCAGAAAGACAGAAACTCGTGGGTGATTTAGCCTTTGTTGATTTAACAAAGATGCGTTCTGTGTTTTTGATTATACCGTATGTATATTGCTTTGTGAGATGGTGGGAGGGTTTTGTGATGTGACATATGGTTGTGTGGGTAGCTTAAAAATGTTAAAGATAATGAAGATGGCGTTTGTGTTGCCTGTATCTAGTGGGGTATGTCAGATTTGCCACATGACTGGTTCACAATCAGGGGGTGGTCTTCAGTCATGCATGCGTATAAAAGCGAAGCACTCAAAAATATTTCTGTGTGAAACTCAAGTTAGAGTTTGAGCAAACCATGAGAGATGGCATTTATTTACATGTTTGAATCATGCCGACCATTAGAAAGGTGGATCCTAACTTGTCCCCTGAGCTCACGCGGCGTCCTGCTGTGACTTTATTCAACGGAGTTGAGTCAGGTAAACGGGACATCTGGTTGTCCGTGTCTGATCTGCTCAGTCTCACGTCAGGTCTAAGGTGTCTGCAGCTCTAGGATCAACTTTGAGTAAGCATGAGGGTTGTGATGGACAAGTGCTGTTCAGTGCTGTAATTTATACTGAAAATGATAGATTATCCCGACATAAGAACAGTTTCTTCCTCTCTGAACACTTGATAACTCATCACTAGAACCTGGCCCACTACAATCGTCACTTTAGACTTCTGTCACTCTATACTGCTGTCACTTTATAATATCAAACCTCTGGACAATAATCAATGTCTATTGTGTATACTTTTATATTAGACTTTCATTAAGATGTTGTATGAATAGCTTTATATCTGTTTATTACTATTTAATAACTGTTTTGCACCATTTGCTAAAAAAAATTCTTAGTTTCTGACTTCCTGTTACTTACAATAAAACAGATTCGGATTCTTATTATATGCAGATATATACATGCATACACATACACATACATATACTTATACTTATACATACAGTTGTGAAATTAGCTAAATCAGAAAGAGACTTTTTATTGTCCCAAACTAAATAATCTAATTTGATAATGAAAGAACTCTTCATGAAGACACAATGGTGACACATGCTTGAGGTTGAAGCTTAAATGTAATCTGTGCAGGTATCCTGTCAACAGATTACAAGTGCAATGGGATTGGCCCAGAGAAGCCAGGGGATTACTAGAGTAGTTGTTCAGGTCAGGGGGGGCATCAGAGCTGTGCGTGAATGAAGTGGGAAAGTTAAAGAAGAGTATAAGGGATAAGACCCTGTTGCTACTGAAGAAGGGGCATTATGACATTAGTTCATAATTTAGCATCACTTTTAAAAAATTCTGAGATGAGAGCTGTTCCTTAAGACGTCTAATTTAACTGTAACCTTGATCTTTTACTAACTTGGTGCAAAGAAGTTAAACGCAACCTGTACAAAAGTTCAAAAGTCTTAATGGTAATTTGTTGTTGTTCGTAAATGCATATATTTCTGGGACAATTCATATTGATTGATAAATCCTCCGTATTCTGTACATGAGCCCTGCAGTCATCAGTCTACTGAGCGGTCTGCACACATTTTAAATAACCCTTTAGTTACGTTTCTTGGCAGGCGGTCAGCAGATCATCTCACCTCAGTAGTGGCAATGTTTGTCCTGAACTGTCTGAGGACGGTTGGTAATCTACAAACACTTGCCACCTGGAGCTACTCATGGCTGCAGGTGGCTCACACTCATTTCTGATCATCTTTACTGTGCCAACAAGTGTCCACAGTGAGTCTTGATCCGGATCCAAGCCAGAGTTACAGTGCCAGACAGGTTAGACTATACTTTTCACAAAACACAAATAACAACAATTAAGATTTTGCCAGAGACTTGATTCTTTGTAATAAACTGTGACAAAAAATCTGAAATTGATATTCGACAAATTATATTTAGAGAATATGTTGATTTAGTGAAGAGAATCCTTTAAGTATCAAAAATGTGTGTGTTGTAAATTGTCCAAACCTTTAGGACAGGTTTTAGTGAGAGGGCGTCTAAAGTTTACCTGAAGTGTCCAGAAGCCAACAACACAGACTGTAAAACTGTTTTGACCGAAGTCAGGCTGCTCTGAGCTTTAAATGAGATATGATGGAGCTGAAGTTGGCTGAATGACGAATGTTTTCTATCTCACCAGCTGCATGAGCGCCACAGATGGAATTTTGTGACACAATAAAAAGACAAATATCCATATGTACAAACAAACATCTGGATTCAGGAGGTTGTGAGCTTTACGAGGAACAGCATGTCAATACTGAGCTGAAGTTGACTGGATGACACAGTAAACGTGTTGATATCAATGGCTACTTTGGGTTAGCAAGTCAGAGGGCCGCATAACATGACACTGAGGGCTGTCATTTTTAAGTTATTGTTAATTAAATATGGGTCTTGACTTGTATATATGTACAGTAATATGTAATATATATTTGAAATGACATAATCACAATTGAAATCATATTCGTTCAGTGTTTGAAAAGTACCTGTATTCCAAATTCAACCAACAACAAAAAGTAGTATTCTGTATATATGTATTCCCCGTATTCTGTTACTTCCCAACACCCATATAGTTCATGGATTAGTGATGGAGCCATGGTTTTTTTAGTCTAGATTCTAGAACAACAAAACATGTTGCTTCTCAAGGCACGGTAAAGCCCACTGAAACTGTAGCAGCAAAATGAAATGTTCATGTGTGTATGTTAGAAGATTGGAGCAGTGGAACTACGATTTGCACAGAAAGTCTTTCCATCAAGAGAGTACAATAAAGTTTAGATAATTTCACTGCGTTCCTGCTATTTTGAGCCAAACCCCCTCTCCCCCATGACTCCCTCTTCCCTTACTTCATTTTTTCGGCCTCACTGAGCATGTGGAGCCAGTGCCTGATCAAAGTTTGGGGTCTGGGGGCGGTGGTATATGCCATTGTTGTAACTGGCCTAATAAAAAGGAATGTGAGCCGTTCCTAGAGTGGCTAATCGGTATGGGTTTGTAACAAGGGATAGTGTATGTAAACCCCTGCTGAAGACCTCCCCCAAGTCCCACAACAACATATGTGGCAGACTGCAGTAGGTATTGAGGATTACCCACGGCTAACCCTCACCACTCGAGAAATCACACGTTTGACCAATTTATAAGCAGCGTTGGAAGTAACTAGTTATAAAAGTAACTATAGTTACTGTAGTATTTCCTTTTTGAAGTTATGCTACAATGTAGATCGCCAATGTAAAATGGTATAAATCAGGATTATTGTAATTGTATTTTGTGTGTGTGTGACAGAAAGGTGTTTCACTTCTTAAACGGAAGAACTATTTTATCTAACTTTAAACAGATGCCACATCATGAAAGGACTTGTGTTTCAGACTAAAACTCAGAGTGACTCAAAGTAGCATTACATTTTAAATACAGTAATATTGAAAATACACATTTTCCTCCCAGTAAGAAGTAATAAAGTAATGTAGAGTATGTTTGATTGAGTCATTTCGCATAAAGATAAAGTTTGAAGTGCTTTGAGTAAATAGAGACTGAAGTCAATGATAGCTATGGTTTTACTAGTTTAAATGGTGGGCCAAGATAAGCCTGGATTTGTCTTTACCTCAGCAATTAAGCCACAGTGAAAGGATTGTATTCCACATTGTTCTTGCCTACAATATACAGCGGATTGCAAAAGTATCAATAGAAGTTGAACTTGTGGGCATTTTGTCATGTTTATGACCACAAACATAAAGATTTTAATTTGGAAATTATTGTTTTATTAAAGACCGCAACAAAGTAACAGACAATGTGAAGTGAAATCAGAATTATTAATGATTTGGTTTTCTTTTTTCTTTTTTTGTTTAAAAAAACCTGAACACATTTCTTGGTATACATTATGCTAAAAATGAAATAGAGCCCGTCTGTGTGTAATCTACTCTCTGTATAATTCAGCTGTTCAGTGACTTCATTGGTGACTAAACAACATAATGAAGGACAAAGAACTCCCGAAAAAGGTTATAATAAGGGTTAGAGGTTTAAAGCACCGTTAGGTCATAAAATATTCCCAACGCTTTGAAAGTGTTAGAGTGGCCCAGTCAAAGTCCTGACCTAAATTCATTTGAAAATCGGTAGAATAATACACAAAAAGACTTTTGTTTGTTTTTTGTATCATTTTGCTTCCACTTCTCAGCTATCTCGTACTTTATTGTACTTGACCATGTAGTGTCAGTACTTTTAATAATTTGTATTTTTTAAAAACAATGAATTTAATATGTTTGACATAACCACCAATAAAAATTGCTGGAGGAAGAATTGTTGGATCAGGGATGGCAAGGGACCTGTGTATCAAGAAATGTATCTCTTTTTAATTTCTCTTCACAATTTTAAAATGTAAAAGTAACCGAGATTAACTTTAACTCCAAGCCTATGACAGCATACACTAACTGCTGTTCTTTCTTCAGTGTGTTTTGTGTATGTGTGAGGTAAACTATAATTCCTTTTTTTGTTTTTTTTAACAGGGATCTTGTGCACAGCTACCTCAGACAAATGCCTTTCTGGCCCTTGTCAAAACGCAGCGACATGTGTGGACACGATGGACGACTACGCGTGCATCTGTGCCAGAGACGGAGTGCGCTACATGGGCAAGCACTGCGACCAGCTCTACGACGCCTGCTCCTTTGCCCCGTGTGAGAATTGCCTCAGCACCCCGGGCAGCGCAGAATACCATTGCATCTGCCCCGAAGGTCTGACCGGAGATAACTGCACTGAGAATGTGGATGAGTGCCTGAGTAACCCCTGCTCTGCGCCACGCTCCCTCTGCGTGGACCAGCTCAACGGGTACTTTTGCAGGTGTCCAGAGGGCTACGGTGGCCGGGACTGTCGCACACACGTGACAGACTGCATAGACGAGCCCTGTAGCAACAATGGCACGTGTTTTCTGAGGCCTGAGGGGTTCGAGTGCCAGTGCGCGCCAGGGTACGAGGGCAGCACCTGTGAGGAGAACCTAAACGAGTGCGCGTCTGACCCGTGCCAAAACGGAGCCATCTGTCTGGACGGGGTGGCGGAGTTCCATTGCTTTTGTGTGCCTGGTTTCCAAGGATATAACTGTGAGATTGACATAAATGAATGCGCGTCGCGACCCTGTGAGAACAACGCCACCTGCATCAATGAGAAGGACCACTACGAGTGCGAGTGCCTGGATGGTTTTGCAGGTGACTCCCAGAATTCTGAAACCGTCTTTTTGACTGCTCCCATTCAAAACAATGAAATTCGGGAAAAAAATAAGTTATTAATTCAAAACTGGTGAAAATACTACCAAAAGGATATACTAACTGCTGCAAGTGAACGTGTGTTGCTATGGTAACTAGCAAGAAGAACTATTAAGAAGCTGAGATGGCTCCATAGGATTGAGATAATTTCATAAACACAACTGCAATAAACTACATATAGAAACAGAAAAAGTCACAAAGTTAGGAAAAGCAAAGACGTGCCTAAGCAGAGTAATTACACTTCCAAAACAGAAAGCTGTTAAATTGACTGCTCTGTGAGTTCTAGTGGACTTCATTCTCCCTGCTGGGCCTACAGAGGGCCTTTGTCCAGCTAAACGAAGATAAGCAGGTCCTTCATGTCTGATGAAAGACCTTCACAATTGTCATAAATGTAGTTTTCACGGCGTTAAAAGGACAAAATATAAACAAGAAAAATATATTTACAAGAAAATACACAACTCCTTACCTTTGTTATAAAAATGAAAACATAAAATTAGCTACCTCGTGGCTGCCTGTCACCTCGGAGGTCTTTAGCGTAACTTTAAAGCGTTGCGTGTACGTTTTGGCTGTACACAACATATAATACAATCCAAAAAAAATTAAATACACAATACAATATTAAGACATGTACAAAATAAATACCTTACACAGTTGCTTGCTCACTGTGAAAGTGGTTTGATGTTTTTTAGCGATGTCTCGCGATAACGACATGAATATTATCCCATCGTATAAAAGTGTAATAACAAACTACTTTCTTTTTTCTACTGTAATATGCAATACAATTCCAAACCAAATAAATAGAAACCTTATTACAACACTTAAAAAAGCTGTGCAGATTTTATATATATTTTAATCATATTTATTGTGAGAACAATTCACATCTAGCAACCTGGAGTTATAATTAACAGATCACAGCTTTAAATTACATGATTACTTTTAACTATTGATTAAAATCACTTTTAACAATTTCTACATTGATTTTAAAGCTGTGTAACTTTGTTCTGTTTCTTTCTCTGCATTTTGTTTGTTCCTGATTGAAGAAGACACAACAGTAAATGTTTCAGTAAGATACTTTTAGACTCTGGGTGTCTAATCTTGATTCAGATAATATTTAAAAGTGTTTTCTGTCCCTTCTGCTTAGTGTCACAGGGTGAGTGACATGTGTGAGAGTTAGTTGGACAGCATTCCTCAGCTAAGCATGGATCTACTCTGATATGTGTGACTAGAATAGTGATCGAGTTGGTGAATGACTTGATGCTTCTTCTCAACAGGTGTGAACTGTGAGGTAGAAATCGATGAGTGTGAATCGAACCCCTGCAGAAATGGTGCCACGTGCCACGACCTCATTGGCATGTACTCGTGCGAATGTCCCCCCGGGTTTGATGGCCTCGACTGTGAGATCGACCTGGACGAGTGCGAGAGTTTGCCCTGTCAGAATGGAGCCGTTTGCCACGACATGATCAACAGGTAACAAATCCAAGTGATGGCAAGTGTAAGCATCAATTAAAAATTAAATATGGCCTTGTGGTTTTATGATTGCACATCTGAAGCTATATTGTTAAAATGCCAGTTTTTTTTAGGAGAATGAACCTAAATCAAAAGTAAAACATAATTGAGGCCATATAATCTACCATTTGAATTTAAATCTGAACTATATCATATAATTCAGACCTGTCCCCCGTACAGAAATATAGCCTGATGTCTATAGATGAAATGATGAAGATGAAATGAAGAGTGATTATCCCACTGTTGAGGTGGTGATGGGATGAGTTGAATGCGCTGACACATTCAAAGCACTGTTTAAATGCAGTGCAGCAGATACTTATTAGTGGTGGCACAGGTGTGCCAGCTGAGCTCAATGGTGCAGGTGGGAGGATTGTAATGAAAAAGATCACAGTGACCTCAGAGATATTTAGTCCTCCATTCTGAACCGTCCCTATTGCTGAATACAGAAGTGTTGATGCCACGTCATTGTTACAACCACAAACCACTGTTTTCATAATCTTACTTTTTTAGTTATGCCTGTGACTGCACTGACACTGGATTTGAAGGGGAATACTGTGAAGTGGACATTCTCGAATGTGCCTCAAACCCGTGCCAACATGGAGCTACCTGTTTGGAGAAAGTCAATGGATACACCTGCGTATGTTGGCCAGGTATACATGTTTTTCCATTGTGTGTGTGTGTGTGTATATGTATGTATATATATAAATACAGTATACAGTATATAGTTGTTATTATTTGTTGTCATTATGCTGATACTTTGCGGTTCAGGTTATGAAGGGAAGAACTGTGAGGTGGATATAGATGAGTGTGCTGATCAGCCTTGTGAAAATGGTGGTGAGTGCTTTGAGCGCTCAAATCCGGCTCATTGGGAGATGGACTGGGAGATGAGATTTGCTGATGCATCTGGATATATTTGCCAGTGTCAGCCAGGATTTGCAGGTAAGATGAAATTGTTACACTTCAATTGATTTTTCAAGGCTCTTACATTCTGGTGGCTTCCACAGGCGAGAACTGCTCTGTTAACATCAACGAGTGTGAGTCTGAGCCCTGCCAGAATGGAGGAGTATGTTTGGATCAGGTCAATAGTTACATCTGCGCCTGCTCTGCTGGGTTTTTAGGTAAGGGCTACTGTTTTAATGTTAACTGAAAGACCAGCTCAACTGTATCCTTTGTATAATTTACATGATGTTTACAGGTCTTCAATGTGAGGTGAACATTAATGAGTGTGAAAGTCAGCCCTGTCTGAACGGAGGCTGGTGCGAAGATGGTCGAGCGTCATATACCTGCCACTGCCCTGACCCGGAGCCAGGCGAGCTGCCCTGGGGCGGACAGCTCTGCCACATTCGGCTGCATGGTTGTGTTCAACACCAGTGTCAGAATGAAGCTATATGTAGTCCATGGCTGCGGGGTGACGAGCACGGCCACACCTGTCTCTGTCAGCATGGCTTCTATGACGAACACTGCTCCACCAGGACAACCTTTTCCTTCTCCACACCAGGCCTCATTCACCTGGAGGTGCCCCTGTTGGAGAGGGAGAGGAGGGAAGTGAACCATCTGAGTCATTATGGGTTTGGAGTGCAGCTAAGGTTCAGGACTACACTACCCAACATGCTCTTGTTCTTCAGAGGTGATGAGGAAAACCACCTCTTCTTAGAGATAGTTAATGGTGGTCTTTATGCCAAGGCTTTGTCTGAAGACGCGGATTTGGATGTAACATTTTCTGGACTAGTCAGTGATGGAGATTGGAGGGACGCGCATGTGATTTTAGATGACCAGGGTCTTGTTCTAATAGTCAAAGGCCCTGGATGTGACAGAGATGGATGCAAAGTGATTGATGATGGAGCAGATGAACCACACTTTGAGCCGGCTTCAGTGTTTTCACATGTCTACGTGGGTGGGGTTCTTAATAAGCTTCTCGACACAACTGTTAGCAAAACTCCTTTTATCGGATGTATGGAGGACCTGATGATTGACTCTAAAGCCATTCTGCCTCAGAACCTGCCGGACGACCAGGCCGTTGAGCTCGGCTGCAGTAAGACCTTATGGTGCGAGCCTGACCCCTGCAGTGCACATGGACAGTGTGTGGACATGTGGACCAGCTACTACTGTGACTGCCACAGGCCATTCTATGGCGACAGTTGCTCAGAGGGTAATGCTACAAATCACTTGGACTAATGTTGTTATTAGAATATAATAAACATGACTTTTGTATATTTTCTACAGAATACCCTGCATGGACCTATAGCCATGAGAACACTGTAAGCTTCAGTTCATATGAGATTGGTAGGAGCCATGGCAGCACTTTCAACGTCTCCTTCTTCCTGAGGTCCTTAAAGCCAAATGGGCTACTGCTTCAGCTGAGACGACCCTCCAAACAGAATGAGGGAGAGGTTTACTTTTCTGTGTATCTGGGCATGGGTCGTTTATTTGTCAGCTCATCCAATAGCAGCCCCCTGACTGCTCCCATATTTGTGACAACTGGAGAACAGCAGTTATTACATGTTAATGTGCAGCAAAGGCAGGTTATCTTTGAGTTTGCAGGCATACGTTACAACATTGGGAACTTCCCTGAGGTCAACATCAATCAAGGCGACCAGGCCTATATAGGAGGACTGCCTGAACTCTGGAGCTCAGACCAATGGGGTGGACATTACAAAGGATGTCTACAGGACGTACGTTTAGGCTCTGTGCATTTAGGCGTAGGAGAATGGAAAATCACCAACCAAGAGGATGTGTACATATCAAGCAGCAATAAATATGTAAAAGACGGATGTGTAAGCGATGACACGTGCAAGGTATGCATAATACTTCAATAAATAAAATGTAAGAAATTGAATTATATTTTGTATTAACTTAAACCAATGATTTCTATTTCAGACAAAGCCTTGCCATAATGACGGCAAGTGCACCATCACATTCAATGACTTTACATGCTCTTGCTCAGAGGAGTACAAGGGCAAGACTTGTGAAACCCGTGTGTGGTGTGTAAGTGGTCCCTGTGTCAATGGCGGTCACTGTGTAGACCTTCCAGATGGATATGAATGTAAGTTCATATTGTTTTCTTTGTGAGTACATTTCTAAACTGTTTTACTGTACATTTTTCTCAAATACTTCATCTGTGCTTTATTAGGTTTGCACAATGCTACATTCGAGAACAATGCCGTGCAGTATAGTGCAGGTGGATCCATGGCTGAACCAGTTTCCAGTATCTACATTGAATTCAGGACTCGTTCAGAAAACGCAGTCCTTTTGCGTGCTGCTCGTGGTGGGGACATGCTCATGGTGGGAGTGCTGGACTCTTCGGTCCGGTTTGAGGTCCAGATCGGGAACACAGTGGAGGCTTTGATTCTGTCCGGAGTGAGGCGTGTGGATGACGGAAATTGGCACAGATTAAAAATCTCAATGGCAGATCAACAGAGGAAGGTCTCCCCCTGGGTCATCACCGTGGACGGCATCATCGACACCAGCAGTTCCCCAGAAGTGACCGGGCGCCTCTACTTCCTCAACCACAAGAGCACCACATTAGCTATTGCTCAAAGCTTTACCGGATGTATGGGAGCTATACGCGTTGGTGGCATCTACCTTCCTTTTGTGGATGACTACAGAGCTCCTCAGCCATCGCAGTTTCATTTAGTGGGAAAACCAAAGATTCCCTTGGGCTGCAGCAGTGCCCCAGTGTGCAACTCCGGCCCCTGTCTCAATGGCGGCACTTGTCAGGACCTGTTTAATAAGTTTGGCTGCACGTGCGACTCTGGCTGGGAGGGGGAGCGGTGCGAGCTGGACACTGATGACTGTGTGTCTCAGCCCTGTATTCACGGGAGCTGCAAGGACTACTTAGCTGGATTTGAGTGCCAGTGTCACCCAGGATACACAGGCAGCCTCTGCGACCAAGACGTGGACGAATGTGAGCGTCACTCCTGTCAGAACGGTGGCACGTGTCAGGACGGTCCCAACATGTACACCTGCATATGCCCCCATGATTACAGTGGCCCTCTCTGCCAGTAAGTAAGGCTTTAAGCGGGAAAAAGGTTCCATATTCAGTGCATTGATAAACCTGTTTTTTTCTTCTACTTTTTATCACTAGATGGAGTTATCCCCCAGAGCAGTGTGGTCAGGATGTGCGGTGCATGAATGACGGGATTTGTCATGATGGTTTATGGGGCGCCAACTGCACTTGCATGCCTGGTTTTACAGGGCTCTGGTAAGGAGATTATGGTGATCAAATCCAAACCACTTTAATTGTATAGCACATTTTATAGAACAAGTTCCCAAAGTGCTGCACATAGATAAAAGTAACACATTTGAATATAATGGTCTGCCAGTTCTATATGTATGTAGAGTTTTTCCTTGCCGGTGCAGAAGGGTCTGTTAGATTATTAGCAGTATAACAAAAAGGACTGTGGTGATGATCCAGGACACTCTACATTTGTGGACATTTATGGACATTTATCAACATTCATGGACATCGGTCAACTCCCCGCACTAATCACTACTGCTGTGATTTGCAGCTATACAAGAATAAATTGAATTGAATTGAGTATACAGAATAGAATACAGCACCTATTATAAGATGCGTGAAATAAAAGCATTTACATATCTATAAAATACCAATTGTACATACATATAATACATACAATTAAACATGAAATGAATAAAACACAGAAGACCACACAACTCACTGGGTGCTTAAAGCCAGAGAGTTAAAGTGTGTCTTAATACGAGACTTAAAAAATTCCAATGAGTAAGCTTTTTTGAGGTTAGATTGTTTGATATAGTTATTATAGAATCAATCATTTTTCTAAGTCATTTCTGATTCAAATCTTTAAAAACAGAGCAAAGAGTGACCAGCTTACTCCCTGCTGTGGTCTCTTTGGTCCAAACTTCAGGTGTTGCCTTCAGCTTGGTGGTCATTACTGCTCTATCCATAATACACTGTATACAGGGATACTAGTCATAAAATATACTCACACATGTTCTCTTCTGCAGGTGTGAAATGGAAATAAATGAATGTGAGTCGAATCCATGTCGAAATGGCGGTTCTTGTGTGGATCATTTCAACATGTTTGTCTGTGAGTGTCCACCTGGTTTCAGTGGACCAACTTGTGACGCAAATGTGAGTGTTCTCCTCTTGTTTGATCCTATTTCAGTGTGTGTAAAGAGTGCAATGTACAACAAATATCATTCTTTTTCATTTCCTCAGAAAAGGGCTCATAAAAAGGGTGTCCCGTGGCTGCTGGTGGCCATCCCTCTGCTCTGTTTGAGTGTTCTCATCGTTATTATTGGACTGACGTTTATGGTTCTGACAGCGAGGAAGAAGCGGCAGTCGGAGGGCGCGTACAGCCCCAGTGCTCAGGAGTTTGCCGGCGCTCGTCTGGAGATGGACAGTATGCTCAAAGTGCCACCAGAGGAGAGGCTCATTTAGGCTCACGAGACTGTTGGATTATACACCCCCTTGTGGTGAGCACAGCCACTCACCAACCTGAAAGTTTGAGGAATAGATTTTGTCTTTCCAATGGGAACACGGCATTTATTGTCTTCATTTTTTAAGATTACTCAAAGCAAAGAATGTATTGAGTCAATGCAAAGGAAAAATCAGACTTTCAGGAGTTTTATCTAAATTAAGCACTGACGCAAAATGTGTTTTGTATAAAGTGATGTGATATTTAAACTGCACTATGGAAAATAGTTTTTATGAAAACAAATGATTTAGATAATTTTAAACAAAAACACATGTATTATTTATGTATATATTAGAGTACCAATGTGTGCATTGTAATATAAACACTTTTTTGTACATGGCCATATTTTAAAACAAAAACATTAAAGCTGTGAACTGCCAAAGCAAAGGATGTGAGTGTTGCTCTTCAATAAGACAAAGGAAAGTCAAAGGAGGAACATTTAATTGTGTTGGCAAAATATAAAACATATCCACAACACAGAAAGAGGACAAATCATTTTAACAACTGAGAAAAAGTATCACAATATGTATGCATTTGGTGATCCATATGAACGAATAACCTATAAGGTAATTATGCACTTTTAAGTCTGAGGGTGAAATGGAATAGTGTCTAGTTTAAAGATCATTTAGATTAGTGGGCAGCACTACATATATTAAATAGTAGAAATGTATGATCATTACCGGTCGTACAGTACTTTGTTGATATTGCTTTATCGCTATCTACTACAGAGACCTGGCTAACACAAGTGAATATCTATACCAAGTGCAGTTTGAGAGAATTCGAGTGCACACAGCAGCATGGGTTTCCAATCCAGGGCTCACCAAGACCCATGTATAATTTCACAGGAAGTAGATATTTGATTTAGTGCGTCCATGTTAACCTACGTACAAGTGATCATGAAATGGCTCTTCAGAATTACATCAGCAGTTATATTTGGCAACAAAACAAAGACAAGAAAAAAAGTATAAGGAGTAATAATTTATGGTAAAAAATACATTTACTCAGACCTACATTGATATAGGGACAGTGAGATTGTATATTTTCCAGTGTTTTAATTTAAAAAAGGCAAAACAAATGTACAGATAAATCATGAAGGTCCAATAAAGACCAAGCAGTGTGTACAAACCCCTCATCTGTCCAGGAAAGACTAAGCACAGCTGAAACGACACTGTCTACGGACCACAATGCAAGTTGTTATAATAGGAGACGAGTTACAAACTTCTGTCGTTCTAAATGTATTTTAATGCTAGGCAGGTATTAGATAATTGGCTAGGACAGGCCGAGTGCTAAATTAGTCTTATCACTACTCTATTGTGGTGTCTGGAACATAGCAACACCACTACAAATAGTGCAAATGATCATTTAAGCAGGTGGCAACGGGACATGGACAGTTGGCAAGTGGATATATATGAACAAGGCCAACTTTGTTTATCAGTAGAAAAGAACAGACACACAAATGTAGCAAGAGAATTGTGTTATTGAGGTTGCTGTGGCTGAATGACCAGGTAATATAACTTTCAACTTATTTTCCTTTGGTCAATTGAGTTTTTCTCAGTCAGTCAGTGTACAGGACAACCAGATTATTCCTCACATTTGTTTTAAACACGGCCAAAACAAACTTTACACTTCACACAGGATCAACCAGCGACAGAAAGTGATTGTGGTTTGGTGAGCAGCTCTGGCCGCTGTAACACCAGGTGCCACAGTGGGACGTCTGAGGCTGTTAAGTGCAAACTGTCATTGTGTCCTTCGGCAACACACCTTACTCACATTGTCTTGTAGGAATCAGATGAGTGAGTGAGTAATGCAAACAAGTGTAAAGTGTGTGACTCTGAAAAGCACTGCAGAGATTACAGACGAACAGATATTTTAGTAATTGCATTGTTATCTATAATCTTTGGTGTCAAGATTAAGAACTCAGATCTATGTTGGGCTGTGATTGGACGATTGGACGACAAAGTACAAGAGAGAAGTACAAAATATATACTATATTATATTATACAGTATAGCATGTTCGGTGCTGATACAGGTTGGTGTCAGTGTTGGGTTTTCAGGATCTATGTTTAAATCTGCTTTGAGGATAATACAAGTAGGTTTTACCAACACATATTAAAGGCACTCTGCACAAATTCTTTATAGAGGAATAATCTGGTTGTGCTGCCACACTCAGTGCTTACACAGTTACATCAGTCAAACGTTTCCCACTTTCTCCGTAGGTCTTCTACCTTCATTTTAGGAGTCGCAGAGGGTTGGACAATGTTGAGCAGGTCTCCAAAAGGATCATGACTCTTTTGACTTTCTGCCTCAGTTTGAAGAGGTTTTGCCAGTCTGCTCTGGGGTGGGTCAGTCATAGAGTCTGCCAGAGTGGACAGAGAGTGGTTACTGGAGGACTGCGGCCGGGGGGAGGCTGATGAGAGGAAGGGCGGGTGCATGAGTCCATAACTGGGGGACACAGAACAGCCGCCAGGTGAGGGCTGTCTGTACAAACCAGGCAAAGTCTGTGGGGTGTGGAGGCAGGGGCCTGGAGGCCCGTAGACTGCACTGAAGGGGTTACCACTGACCACGGGGGAGTAGTGCATTTGAGGCGGGGTTTGTGGAAGAGATGAGGCAAAGGGGTTGAGGGATACTTGAAGCTGCGCTTGAAAAGGAGGCAGCCCTGTTGGGTAAGGCCGTGGTGGAAGTGGTGGTTTATTTGCTGAGAGGGTGCCGTTTTCCATCTTCTCATTGACGGGTGAACTCTTGAGAGGGTCCAAAAGGCTGAGCAGATCTAGGTTCTCCTCCGGAACTTTGGAGGGCTTCAGAAGGTCCACATCGGTCGTGCGGCTCAGAGCTTGCCTGAACTCTTGTCCTCCAGATGTAGTCCTTCCTTCCGCTGGTTTGGACCGGACTTGAACAACAGGAGGCGCCAACACTATTCCCAGCTCTGGCGTCTTCCTGCCCTGTGGACGGGGAATGGTGATGTTGCTAGTGTTTGTGAGGTCCAGGACATCCATTCCCAGAGTGAGGATTTCACGACACGGAGAAGGGGCATCAGGAAGTTGAACAGACGCCGGTCGTTCAGAAGAAGCAGCAGGAACACAGATGGGCAGAGCAGCCTCCTCTTGTCCTGCACTCCAGAGCTTGTTGTACGGATTGGACAGTTTAAGCCCAGGCAGTGTGCGTGAATGTTCACTGATGCTCAGGTCCATGCGCTGTGAAAAAAACAGAATCCCAGTATCTTTAAAATGATATAATATTCATATTTCTCATACAACAAGAATTGAAATTAAAGCAAAGTTATGACTGCAATAAAATAAAAGATTTCAAAACAAGACTGGCTTTGGTTATGATGAGTAATAGACTGTATATTTGTAGAGAACTACTTTCCAAAACCCTTCATGTCTGACCTGATAGTTGAACTTTGATGGCACACTGTCAGTTTCTTTGGGCGTCCTCAAATCTTCAAGACTTTTTGCCAGAGTAATATGTTGGCTGTCAGGCTCATCTTGGCAGCCAAAAATATCCCCCAACAGATTGACATTGGAGAACCTTTCATTAACTGGACTTGAAGGAGCAGTGTGCCTCTCTGAACCAAGGCCATTATCATCACCACCACTTTCTAACAACTCCACTTCTTTTAGCGAGTGGTACGGTTGTGCCCTGAAAAAAACAGAAATCACTGATCAATTAGAACAATCAGTACAAGACCATGCAGCCCAATAGGCTTAAAATGAGTCAGAAATAAAGTTAGAAGAGTCAAACAGCCCAAAGTGAATGAAGGAAATGCGTACAGAGGAGACCACTCAAAGGGGGTTGAGAAGAGAAAGCCATCAGGACACCCAGAGACAGAGTCCTCGTCAAACTGGAGCTCGTCTCCAGAGGAATCCTCCGACAGAAACACAGTGTAATGCCGAGTGGGACGCAGAGAGCTACAGCGAAGAGAGAGAGCACATTTAGAGCTGCAAGAGAGCAGAGGTTGAGGGAACTACCAGAAAAACATACACGAGGTCACCAGGGTTATTTTGACACCAACATTAGATAAGCAAGGAAAGGTTAAATAGTAAGATGAGATGAAGCATTTCAAAATAGTGTATTGTAAGTAAAGTGGTCTTACAGTGGGTCCACAGCAGCCTCCAAACTCACATTACTGCTCGGCCTTTTTAACAAAATTGGTGGTCGAGTCTGTGGGAAGAGAAGTTCTGTTAAAGAAAAACCTAGCCATACACAAATAATGGCCCATTTTATTTGAATTATTTAATCTAACATGCTGGTGTGGCAAATGACCATGAAATCCATAATGATTAAGTTTAATTTAGGCTACTCTAAACAGTTTGTAGGAATGAGTGAATCTATTATTGGAGTATTTAACAAAAACGTGGCAGTTCTTTATAATTCTGCTCAAACATAACATAACTAAAAACTATCCACAAAATGGCAGAGCTTCATTCTGTATTGAAGCATAATAAGATTATATTTGCCTTGTGGATTTTTGAGCTGCTGCTTTTCAGTATATACATTTTTTTTTTCATTTTGAATAGAAAACCCATTCTATATTAAGATTTAGAACATTTGTGTTGTAAAATAATATTTTCAAAATGCGGCCTCCGTTACCTGTTAATACACAATAATGGAGGACAAATGATGTCAAGGTCTTTGTTTCCCACTCTTCCCGCAGCCTGCGCCTCACCTGTCCAAAGTGCATCGTGATCGGTCTTCGGTCATCCCAGGTATGCAGCGGCCCCTCTCTCCTCACAGCTCGAGTGCTCGATGGAAACTCAGAGGAACCGTCGTTGTCGATGACCACGGATCCGGCTGTGGGAAAACCATTCTCTGCCTGTTCCTGAAACGGGACCACACACAGGGAACAATAAGGGTCCAGGGAGCGCCTCTGCAGCGGGACAGGGAACGAGGCGGCGCGGCGGGGCTGGATGTGTTTAGGTGAAGGTTCAGGGGATGGGCCAATGGTTTTCAGAATGATCAAATTTAAGCAAAAATAAAAGAATATTGATTCTTTAAAAAAGTGCATTCCACAACAAATGAGGTTCGCTACTCGCTTCAAGAAAAGAGACCAAAAAAATGAATTCTTACATTGATTCATGAGGCAAAACTTTCAGTTATATGAAATAATATACATTTCCTAACATTGGTGAATACCAAGTACACAGTTAAGTTAACAGATTTGCAGCTCCAGGTCCTTTAACGTGTCACATGCATGCACTAACAATTAAATGTACACACTGTGCAGATGTGCATCAAACACCTGTTTGTTCGTTTGTGGGGTTTTAGGAGAACAGCTACAAATAATAAGTTGTTAATTTAATGTTAACATAAGAATATGACTGTATCCAGTCATTTGCATTTTTAACTACACAGTCAGCTGTATGCTGTATGCCGGCAAGGGTAACCTCTTGACGAATATTAGCCTAGAGAGCCGTGCTCGTCTCCAATGTAGATGGGAAACGTAATACCAAACTGTGGAACAGTCCCATCCAAACAATAACATTGAGATGGACACCAGCAGCGACGGAGCCTCCTCCCAGAAAGTTGAGAAATGCACCTTTGTGTTTAAGCGAGATGGATTTCATACCTTTTGTTTCAGTCTGCTCTTCACCTCCTTAATACCCATTTTGGCATGATCCTTAGCCTGCGGAATACCAAAAGCTAAATTTGCATTCACAATAGAATGTTCAGATTAGATAAATAAAAGTAATAAAAGTCTTACAAATTTATAGACAGTTTTCATTGCAGGGTTAGCTTTAGTCCTCACTGTGTTAATGATTGCACCACCGCCTTTCTGTAATAACATGTGTTAATTAAGATACAACATTAGAATTCTGCTGAATCATATTGGATAAAGAACCACAGCAGGGCCCCCCCAAAGAGTGTCCACACAACAAGCAACTGGGATTTGACCAAATGAGTTACTATTTTCAATTTGTTGCTCAATTTATCTTTTGATATATCCATAAGATGTTCAGATCCTGAAAGCTTGAGGACATCTCCATGGAGATAACTTGTACACATTTGGTTGATTGATTAAAATAAATTTAATTTCATTTTGTAGTCATTCTAGAATAATTTGAGTCATAAAAACCTGCTCTACGCATGTTTAAGTCAATGGAAGAAAGTAATTAGTTTAGCACTATTTCAATAAATCAATTAGTTGCAATGAATCAATTAACTTGTTACAGTCCTTAAATACAGGGTTTCTTGTCAGGGATTATGTAAATTTACCTTAACAGTGAACAACCATTGATGGTACGTCTTGTCACTTCCTGTATAAAAATAACGAACATAAATTTGCAAATTGTAGGTCAAATATTCCATAATGTAATGATTAGACATACCGGCATACTCTCCCATGCTGATCTCCTCCTCAAAAATGTCATTAAATCCTTCTCCTGCGTTTAACAGGTCCAAACGGCCATCAATAAACTGCAAACAAAAAAATATAAAACCACACATTAAATCATTAGCACATGTAACAATATATAAAATAAAGCCAAGAATTGATTAAATATAACCTTACTACATTTATTTCAATCCTGCAAAAAGACTGAATCAATTCATGAATGCAGTATTTTTACACTAATATATATGTAAACAGGTTATACAGGACATGGTGATGTTTAAGGAGGACATAGAGCATCTCCATGGGTTTCCTTTGTTTACCTGTTTGAATAGTTGTAGTTGAATTGCATTCTGAAGAAACTGCCTCATTGCACTAGATCGATGGTTGATGAACGCCTCTTCGTTAAACGTGATTGGCTCTCCCTACAATCACTGAAGTTAAACATAGAAAAGACACCCTTGTGCATAGATTCTGCTGCGGTGCGTTCACTGACCGGCTCGATCTGCAGGGCATTTCTGTAGCTGCCAAAGAGAGCAGCCTGGCTCTTGAGGAAGGCGCGAGCCACACCGTCACCTGTTGTGGTCGACACCTTTCTCAGTCTGCTTTTTAGAGCGGAAACCTGAGAAGAACTCTGTCACAACGTGCTCATTGGAAACACTGATGTCCATGAACACAGACGCTCACCACATCATTAGGAAGGCTTTGAAGGTCTTCATAAGGACTTTCCAGGGTGTTGTTGTCCACATTGAGAACCACCACATCATCCAGAGACATCACGCGAACTTTCTATAGTGAATAAATAGCCAGTTAGAGGGATCCATTTTAAATACATTAAGAAGCCGGATAGATAATATCTACCTCCATTAAACTGGAATGCACTCCAATTAGGTAAGGCATCGGGGCACTAAAAAGAATCAAGCAGACATTCTAACAGGCACATGCGAGTAACAAAATATTGGATCACGAGAGAAATTATTGCATAGAGGGCATTTTCACAAAACTAAAGTCACTTTCACTTAAATTAGTAGCTCAACGTATTGGCACATACCAGCAGTAGTCCAACAGATGTTGAGGCAGAACTGGAATGTAAACATGTTGCCAGTGCATTGGATACAACATGGCTGCAGACCCATGGACACATGCAGTTAACTAGAAAATATATGAGAGAAATAGAGATTAAATAAGTTCTTAAAATAGAATGCACCATAAACGTATTGAAATTCAAAAACCTCTTACAGTGCTTAGTTTGCTACAACAGATGAGAATTCGGCGTTCATAAAGCATACTAGCGTAAAGATGGAGCATGTTATTGACATCTACAGCTACAAAATACTCTGTCAAGTTTCTCTGTAAAAAACAAAACAAAAAAAACAATACAAATTCATAAATACAGATTTATGTATTCTCAAACAGTTCTGCAACAATTTTAATTTACAACACTAAAATGAGTTCTATAATTTACTCACATTTTCTGGTATACTAGGGAGCTCTCTAATGTCAGGCACAGTGAAGAAGGAATGCTATTGGACAGAAAGAAAGGTCTGTTATAAATAATGCAAAATGGAAACTACCTTTTAAAGGCTGTGGTAAACTACAGACACACAAGACAAAATACTATAATAGTGAGTAAATAATGGTGAATATCTATTCTTTAACATTTCAAGAGGCTTCAACAACAAAAGTATGTTTACAAAGCATTTGAAAGAAAATCACTCTGTTCGGCTTGATTTTCAAACCGATCTGAACAGCGTCGGTCCGGTCATCTATGGTATGAGAGAAGCTTTGTGTGACGCTTTCAAAGGTGTCTCGTAACTTTGTCTTAGCACATACTTTGAGCATTTGATTTTGATTTGTGCTCAACTGCAGCCGCACAAGTCATTTATTTTCCACAGTGTCCTTAAACGCATAATTTTTCCAACTTTTACCTCATGTAATAATGTATGCGCTGAAAACAAAAAGATTGAGTGGCCTAAAACATACATTTCAACAATTAGTATGATTCCTCCCCGTGCTCTTAAATACATCTGCTGGTTGTGTCTCAATAGGATCTAGTGTACGTAGATACATAGCTGATCAATCACAGTAGAAACAGGTTAATCTAGTTGTGCCAAAGCGCGTGAGTTTACAGGGTCATGCGTCCGGTTCGGTTGTAATAATTTAGTGTAGGCGAGTGATCATTCTTACCATCCCCAGATGAACAGGAACTCCAGGCTCCGGGATTGGAAGGGTATGTAGTGAGACAAGGAGCTCTTGTAGGGGGCTTTCCTGGAACATAAGAGGACAATTTTGTGTAAATCTTATATCTGAAATGTTGTCACAAAGAACTGCAACAGTACGTGTGCATCATACACGTCTTACCTGGCCTTTGATAGTGTAGTCTGCAATAATGTTAAGAAGTTTGTAGAAGACCTCAAACCAAGGCAGGTAGCTGAAATCAAATGTCATTTAATCAAGCTGTATTTTAATCGTTTTCAAATCAATCTTGGATGTAGCTTAAGGACAATTGACAGCTTTGTCAAATTTCTGTTAGGCCTGATGTTAGCAACACCTACCTCAGAATGCAGTAGCAGGTATGAGCGCCAGAGGACAGACGACAAAAACCAAATCTCTGTTTACTCTCAATATCAGTTAACACAAAGGTGAAATTCTGGCCGACTTGGTTAACTGTGAGACTGAAATATGAAAAGGACAAATAGTAAAGAACTGCTTCTGCAACTCATACTATTCACATATTTAGGTTACTTTGTCATAAAAACCTGAAAAATCACTTTAGATAACAAAACCAAGCAGGATTGCATGTCCTCAAAGCCTTTTTTTTGCTTATTGTTGGGTCAGTGCATCTTAATGAAAGCACCTCTCCAGGTTGTAGCCTCGGACAAATTTGTATCAGTTGTTCCACAGTCACACACACACACACACACAATCATACACCTTGAAATATTGTACATGTTTATGGTGGTAGGAAAAACTCGGAGCACCCGGAGGAAACCTACACAGACCCGGGGAGCACATGCATAAGGTTTGCATATGAAATAGACTCCAAGTGCTAACCCCTGCGCTACCGGCCGACTTGAGTCATAATTGCTTCTGCTTTTTTATGGAAATGTTGCAATCGTTCAACAATACATCATATAATCATCTGAATAGAAGATTTACCGCATTTTTAACCACGGAATTCAATGTAGTTGTACAAGTGACAACCGTCAAAACGTTACAGAGTGTTTCTTTAAGAATAATGTTAAATATTAGTTTTATAATTATATTGTGCAGCCACACGTGGTGCAGTAGTCAGCAGTCATAACAGTTATGTAATCCAGGTGAAAACAACACTACCTGTCCATGTTAAATGGAAAGCAGAACTTCGGTACTGTCTGAAGCGTTTCCTGCAAAATACGTTTGTATAAAATAAACACACATAGAGGGCAAATACTGAGAGTTGTAAATTGTGAGTGGTCAAACCTTCTCATTATAATCTTCAGGAAACTGTCTGTGGACTAGTGGTTCTGTCAGAAATAAAAACAACTCAATGTATTTTCAAATCCATTAAGAAAACTAATAATAGTATACATAACAAAATAGAATACAAAAGTAACTTCTTTATGTTGGAAGAATGAATACACATAAGAAGTAGCGTCGTCACTTACTAGAGCCTGGTGTTCCCGAGTAGGATACTTCTATATAAATCTCAAAGGTAGACTCAGGGTTTTCCCTGAAATAGAATAAACACTCATCATCCAAAGTCTGTTAATAAATGAACGTTCTAATATAAAAAAATATCTGAATTTGTTTAAAGAAAGAACCGCTATTATTGAAAATGCATAAAAGACAGGCATCAGCTTTAATATAAGACAATAACAGTGGGCATCAGTCATGGATGGATTATAATAACATAGCTACAAACGGTGTTTTTGTACAAACACTTCTTCTCTTTGTTTATAGTAAAACATGAATTAGTATCTACACTGGCTCAAATTTCCTCTTAAACCATTTGGACAGAGAAACGGGAGAGCACACGCCTATGTGTCATATTCAGCCATCTCCTGGTGCTGCATCCGGCGCAGAGAGAGCTGTACAAACTGAGAACGGGATCATTGCACCGTGTTAGAAAAGAGACTTCTTCTGAGACATACATTACATAGATTCACAGTAGAAATTAATGCTTTTACAGATGTTTTTAGGTTGTGTCGCAACAAGTCTAGGCCTTGAATGATCAGTTTTCCCAATGACTCACGAAAACAAAGCTAGCGGCGCCTGACACAGCCGCGGCATTGAACCCATGTCCACAGACACATTCTTACTTGATTCGTGACCCCATCATGAGGCGTATTCCTGCGGTGGCCGGCAGCAGCTCTGAGCGCTTGACCGCCTCTGTCTGGGCTGTTACCACTGAAGCTAACCTGTCACATAGCGGTGCACATCGCCATGGCCATAGTCTACACGCGTAGATCACACTGTATGCCGCACAGAACTGTGGGTATTGTAGTATTAAGCAGAAGACACGAACCTCTGCGAGGCTTCGTAGTAGTTTTTAAAAACTACAACACCCACTAGCCATTACCCAAAATAACGAAAACAAAAATATATAGATAAATAACACAAGCAATTGAAACGTCACTGTTTTAGGCTTCGGTTAGTATTAATGGATCTATTTGGTTATGTGTTATATTAACTGCCATTATCACGAATTAGATTCATACTAAGTATAAACAATATATTGTAACGTCCTGGCTCGAGGTAATGAATGAGACAGTGTTCTACTTGTTGCTTTAATACAAGATGGTTACTGTCGGCCGTAACCACGCCAATACAAGTCCACAACTTAGCAGAACAACAGCCCGTTCGCAGTCCCGGGTAAAAAAGACCGCGTTATCAAAAAAATCTTCTCTAACCCCCCCAGTAGGCCCGCCCCTCCATCCTCAGAACCAATCCTGTAAGTGCACTAAACCGTGAAGAATAACATGAAATAACAGCATTAACATAACATAAATGCAGGGTCGCTACACTGCCCCCTCCCCACTAAGTCCCTCGCCCCGAGGGATCACATAGAAAGTCTCTAAGGTGACTGGGGGCCCTTATCTCCCTACGGGGTCTCTTTGGGGTGACTGCTAACCTGGGAACAACATGCTTCGGAGCAGGGGGCATCTGTGTGTCAGTTGATGGGGAAACAGTCAATGTCTGGGGTCCGACTGTTTTGTCTCTCTGAGTGGATACAGGGCGTGACTGGGGATGTGCGTCACCCATGTATGGGGCTAACCTATCTCTGTGAAGGGCCACCCGTCTACCCCTAGGTGGGAGCTGCACCCTATACACCACCTCCCCAAGCTTCTCAAGTACCCTACAGGGCCCCACCCAGTGACAGTCCAGCTTAGGGCACCTCCCTTTTTTTCTCTTAGGGCTGAACACCCACACGAGGTCCTCAGGGTTAAAGTCTCTTCCTTTGGCCCTCATGTCGTAGTTTCTTTTCTGCCGGATCCCAGACTTTTGCAGCTGGTCACGGGCAAACGCATGAGCTGTCTCCATCCGGTCCTGTAGCCTCCGAGCGTATTCCGGTCCTGGTGGGACAGCAGGAGTGTGTGGGGGTCTGCCAAAGCACATTTCTCTGGGTGTCCGCAGCTCTCGCCCCAACATGAGAAGAGCAGGTGTGCATGCTGTGGACTCCTGAACCGAAGACCTGTAGGCAAGCAGGACAAGGGGGAGGTGCATATCCCAATCCCGCTGGTGTTCTGCAGTGATGATCGCCAGTTGTTTTGCGAGTGTTCTGTTGAAACGCTCGACTAGCCCATCACTCTGAGGGTGTAGTGGGGTAGTACGTGTCTTTTGCGCTCCCATACGCTGACACATTGCAGAGAAAACGGCAGACTCAAAGTTTCTCCCCTGGTCGCTGTGGATAACTTCGGGTGCCCCAAACCTGGAAAACATTCCCTCCACCAGGGTGTCTGCCACCGTCACCGCTTCCTGATCCGGGATGGCAAATGCCTCTGGCCATTTAGTGAAATAGTCCATGGCAGCGAGTACATAACGATTCCCCTGGTCTGACCGGGGAAACGGACCCATTATGTCCACAGCCACTCTTTCCATAGGGGCCCCCACGGCCAACTGCTGAAGCTCGGCACGGGATTGACCTGGAGGGCCCTTATAAGCAGCGCACAGGTCGCAACGACGACAAAAGTCCTCTACATCCCTCCTGAGCTGGCCCCAGTAAAACCCTTGCCTGAGCCGTCTGAGAGTTTTTGAGACTCCAAAGTGTCCCGCCCCAGGAGTTCCGTGACAAGCCTTCAGAACTGGGTCTCTGAGTGCTCTGGGGACTACAGTTTGCCACCTTTCCTCCCCTGTAGCTGGCTCTTTCCACGCTCTTTGAAGTACTCTGTCTTTTATACGGAGGGTTGTAAACTTTTCAAACAGTCCTTTGGTGGCCAGCGAAAACCCAGCTACCTCACTCCACTGTGGTCTCTGTCCCGATTCAACCCACTGCAGCACAGGTTGCAGATCGGGATCCAGTTCCTGCTGAGCCCTCCACTCCAGTGGATCATGGAGCTCCGCCACTTCACAGATTGGCCCTTCCCCGCTGCACAAGGGACCCGCCTGCTCCTCAACACAGAGCTCCTGTTCCTTGGCCTCTCGTTTTTCACAATAGCGGCAGCCATCCAGAGCGACATGGACGTCTGGACATGGCATCCGCGTTGGCATGGCGACTCCCAGCCCTGTACTCCACTTTGAAATTATATGGCGCAAGTTCTTCCAACCAGCGGGCAATCTGCCCCTCTGGTTCTTTAAAGGACATTAACCATTGGAGTGCTGAGTGATCTGTTCTCACAGTAAAGGGGAGGCCACAGAGATAGTACCGGAAATGCCCTATCGCTCTCACAATAGCAAGCAACTCTCTCCGCGTCACGCAATAACGCCGCTCAGCCTTGTTGAAAGTTTTGCTAAAGTATGCCACTACTTTCTCCCCGTGTGATCCCACCTTGCTCAACACTGCACCCATCCCCGCATCGCTGGCGTCTGTGTCCATGACAAATGGCAGATTGGTATCTGGGGGGGTTAAGATGGGAGACTCCGTCAGTGCCTTTTTCAAAGTGCAAAAGGCCCGGTCGCACTCTGGGGTCCACACAAAGTCACAATTTTTCCGCTGTAGGGCAACAGGGGTGCGGCGATGCAAGAGAAACCGCGCACGAATCGCCTGTAATATGATGCTAGTCCAATGAAACTCTTCAGTTCTCTGAGGTTAGTGGGGATTGGCCAGTCCCTGACAACCTGTACCTTTTCCTCCAGAGTGCTGATGCCTTCTCCACCAACCTTGTGCCCTAAAAACTCCAATTCCCTTCTCATGAAGCAGCATTTGTTGGGGTGGAGTTTCAGCCCGGCCTCCGCGATACCTTGCAGCACCTGCCGGAGAGAATCCAAAGCCCTCTCAAAAGAGCCGCCATGGACCAGAATGTCGTCCAAGTAAACGAGACATTCCTGACGGGGGACAGCAGCTAGCACTTTTTCCATCAACCTTTCAAAAGTGGCCGGGGCATTGCATAGCCCGAAGGGGAGGACCCTAAACTGCCACAATCCCCTGCCGGTGCAAAAAGCGGTCTTGGGTCTTGCATCGGGGCTCAGGGGGACCTGCCAGTATCCACTGCGCAGGTCTAATGATGAGAACCAGGAAGAGCCAGATACCATGTCCAAGGACTCATCAATACGTGGTAGCGGGTATGAGTCTTTCTTTGTTATGCTATTCAGCGGTCGATAGTCCACACAAAACCGCATTTTTTGATTATTTTTCTTGTTAACCATCACAACCCCCGAAGCCCAGGGACTATCTGACGGCTCGATAATACCAGCCGCGAGCATTTCGTCAATTGCGCTATCAGCAGCCGCTTGATGCGCCAGAGGGAGTCGGCGGGGGCGCGTTTTGATCGGGTGCGCATCTCCAGTATCTATTTCGTGCTGCACCAAGTGTGTTAGACCCACCTCCTCTTCAGAAAGGGCAAAGATGTCTTTGTACTGCAGTAGCACTTGCCATAAAGCTTCCCGCTGACTGGTTTCCAAAGTGGTGCAGTTACGTTCCCAAATCTCTTTTACGGCCACGACCCTGTCCATTTCTCTCACTGCAGGTAACTGTTCCAGTGCAGGAGGTAGAGCTGCCATTGCATGTTGCGGGTTGGTGGGTACTGGAGCAGAAAAACTGGGGTAGTGGCACGTATTTCTGGTGCACCTCTGCTGCTTTAGACGCTGCTTGACTTTGGACATGTTCAGGGGGCACCATTTCAACTGAGGGGCTTCCCGGAAATGTCACAGTGTTACTGCCAAGATCGAGCACACAGTGAGCGGCCCTCAAAAAGTCAAGACCCAAAATACAGGGGTCCTTCACTGCAGCGACCCACACCCTAAAATCCACAGACATTTCCCCCACTTGTATAGTCACTAATCCCCGACCAAGCATAGGAGCGAGTTCACCAGTCACAGTCCGCAACTTTACAACAGTAGGTTCTAGTAATGTCCCAGGTGGCACCATGTCGGGTCTCATTAGTGTTGCGGTGGAACCCGTGTCAACCAGGGCTGTGCATGGGGCCCTGTTCAAAGTAACAGGAACATGACAAAAATTCCCAAAGTGCGTCCAGCCCACCACCCTCGAAGATTCGATGTCGCTGTCATCTGCTTCTGGGGGGAGTGGAGCCCCGCTCCCCCGACTGCGTCGTTGGGCCCCGTACACATGTGAAACGATAGGGTGGGACACAGGGGCGGGGGCCTGTGTGGTCCCTTTTACACAGACCCCGGAGCGTTTCCCTGACCGCCCGAGTTCTGGGGGCACCGCACACTGATATGGCCTGCCTGGCCACACGTCCAGCACACTGGAGGGCCACGGCGCGGGCGGGCACCGCCGCGTTGTGGTTGTAACGTCACAGCTCGGATCAGTTCTGTCAGCTCAGCAACCCAGGCAGGCCTCTCCTGACCTGGGTCCTCCCGCACTGCTGTCCTCACAATGGGGCCACTCTCAGACGCTGAACCTACGGCCTCTCTCTCTAGGGCGAGCTCCAGTGCCTCCTGCAGGGATCTAGGATGTGCCAGCTGTGTCTGTGCGCGAAGTTCTCGGGGAGCCAGGGCACGAATGAACTGGTCCCTGACCAGCTCACTCTGTACTTCAGGGGGCATATGGGCGTAAGCTCGTCTTGTCAGGGTCTCAATATCGTTAGCCAACCCCCTGAGTGGCTCGCCTGTCAACCTCTGTCGGCTAGCCAGCTCTGAGCGCAGGACATCGGGTTGGCTACATTGTCCAAAACGCCTCCGGAGGGCCCCAACCAAAGCCCCATAATCATCTCTCTCAGCTGGGCTTAACAGCAATAAGCATGACAGGGCATCATCAGTAAGGCACAGAGCCAGCTGGAGTGCTTTTACTTTTACAGACCAGCCAGCTGCCCCAGCCAACAGTTCAAATTGGGCATAGAAGGCCTCCCAGTCTGCTTTCCCTGAATATTTCGGAGTCTTAACTTGCAGTCGTTCCCTGCCGCCATTTTCGTCTGAATTTGGTGACCTGTCAATCATGGCGGGCGGGGCTTGTTCTCTGGCGCTCCCGCCGCTGAAACCCGCCTCCGCTGCCATCTCCGCGGCTACCCGTCTTATATGAGCAGAGTGCTCAGAACGTCGACTTTGTTCCATATCGTGCCTCCGGGACTGGGTCTCAAAGTCACTGTCCATCACCTCCTTCTTGATTTTCGGGCGAGCACCGGACTTCCCCGATGGCATCGACATATCAAACGGGCGGACGAGCAGACCCCGACACAAGCTAGGAGCGATCACCGGGCTTCGGAGACGAACTCGGGCTTTTTACTTCTGACACCAGTGTAACGTGTTGGAATATTGAACTCCTGGACCAGTTAAAATTAAAATCAGTTTAGTATTGTTTCTGTTGCCAAATTAGCACTTGTTTGTGTAAATCTCAAAGAGCAGTGAGTTCAAGGTTAGTCTGTGTGAGAATGGGAGGGGGACAAGAGGGAGACAAGTGGTTATCAGAGCAGGTGCAGGCTTTGGCAGCTGGCCAGAAGAAGTCATAGAGTCCACGAATCTGTGATGTCAGTGACCTTGGATGTACAGTATAAAAGATGTACAGGAGGAGGCACGGGGGCTTTTTCTTTTTCTTCTGACCAGGAGGGTGAAAGACGTCCCCGGGGCCACTCCTTATCTGAACGCGAAGCGAGACTTGTGTTCGCAGACCGTTATCTTGTAATATTGCTTGCAAAATCTTCAATATAACCTTTTGAAATCAGGTTTGGTATCTGTCATTTCTATTACTGTTTTAACATTGGTTTTTGTCTCTTGTTGAACTAAAAGGACCTGCAGAACGAAGGGCTGTGTTTGCGGCCTCTCTGCAGCTTCTGGGGCTGGGGAATTCTGACAAATTACTGCAGAACTTGGCGTCGCTCGAACAGGATTTCGACAGGAGACACTAGGACCGGTCAGAGAAAAGATTAATTTGGCGCCAAAGTAAAACGGTAAGATTGTTACCAACTAATTAATCTTTCCTTTCACCTGACCTGAGACCTAAAAATAAAAAACAAACAAACAAAAGTAGGGTAAATATTGAAGGATTTGCTTGCAAGTATTTTTATATTTATTGGGATAATAGTATTCTAAAGTCTAAGTGACTTAAGAAAAGGAGAAAAAACTGTGTGTTATCTCAGTGATTGATAGTCAACCTAAAAGGACTGTGTGAGGATCTAAGTGATTTATGAGTTAAAAGGAGTCAACTGTGTGTTATCTCAGTGATTTAATAGTTGAAGGAGAAAACTGTGTGTTTTAATTAATTGACAATAAGGGAAAGGACAGGGACAGTGTCTAACTTTTCTCACTTTTTAATTTTTCTCTTGGTGTGAATGAGTGATTGATGTTTTCTGTTGAAAGTGACCATTGCACAAACGGTCACAGTGAACGCAGTAATTTGGGTCGCGTAGGACGGGGTCACGATTCGTGCGTACATTTCCCCACCACATTTTGTGGTCGAACGGGGAGATACCACGATCTGACGCTCTAAGATTACGCACCCAATTGCTGATTCTTTACATTGATATTGATAACACAAGGCTTGTAATCTAGACGGTAGAAAACATGGCATCTGTAACATTAGATGAGTGGATAAAGGGGATTATACAGTATTTAGAGGGGACAACAGAGATTAAAAATACAACAACAAGGAGCGTTAGAACATGGTTAAAATCAAAAAAGAAAGATGGTATTTTAGCTAAGTCAAATTCACCTCCAAGTGAAGGGTTAATGAAACAACTAAGAGAATTAGTTTTGGAGAAACGTTCTCAAATGCAAAGAGAGAAGCCGTTAGAAAATAAGAAAATTCAAAAGTTGACAGATGAGGTTACTCTGATTTCAATGATGATCAAAACTAAAATGAGAAATGGATGACTGCTGCCAAATTGCAAAGTACAGCTCCTGATTCTTCCCCTCCACCGTATGCTCCATTGTATCCAGATTTAACAGAATTAGTGAAAAGTAAAGATTCTGCAACAATGGCTCCATTGATTACATTTGAAGAGCCAATCAAATGTACCGTGACTAGCATAGGAGAGGAGAGTCTGGATCAAAAATACTCCCAAGAGGCGCTCAGGCAGGTACGGGAGGTTACAGCTCAGACTACCCAGCTTCAGAAACACATTGATCAGGTTGGAGAAATTGTGGCACAAGTGGCTGAAAGACAATTTAATGACACATTGACAAGACTGGAAAATGAGCTTAAAAATCACACGATTCAGGGAGGCCCATCTCACTTGCAGCATACCCCAGGGACTAGGGGAAATTCATTTGCAAATGGTTTTAATGGAAAAAACTTTATTAGTCATTCTAGTCCCAAATTTGACGAGATTACTTCCCAGGCAGAGAAAGGAGCAGAGCTGAGAGAGCAGGGGGCGGGAGGAGTGACAGCTCAGAGGTGCGAGGGGGGCGCAGACAGAGAGGCCCAGAAGGGAGTGGACCAACACTCAGAGGCTAGGAAGAAGACAGATTTAAGAATCAGCTTTCAGAAGCCGATTACAATTAGAAAAGAAAGACAGCATCGTTATTTTACTCGATCTAATCAGACTATAGATGCAGAATCAAGCTCGTCAGACGAAGATTTATTGATGACCGGCTCAGATGCGTTTGTAACAGCTGAACACTCAGAAGACGACGGTACGAGTGGGGAAATTTATTATCAACAGGAAAGGCGACAGAACAAGAGGAAAGCTAGGCGCAGACAAGGAGAAGATGTGTCGATGTGTCCAATTGTGGTATCGACGTCTAGGTCCGGCAGAGAGATCAGGACATGTAAACCGCTCACTATAACTGAAATTGACTCTATAAAAATGAGAATGAAAGACCCAAGGCAGTATGGGGGCAGAGCATGTTTGTTGTCAATCCTGGAACACTATCCTGCTCAAAATTTAACCCTAAATGATCTCACTACCGTTCTCGGTGTCCATCTTCCAATCATGTCCACAGGATTTGAAAATGTTGCAGTTCGAGCCACAAACAGCTGTTCAGTGGAAGCATGGTATTCAGCTGTGATGGAAAAAATGGAAACGTTATTTCCTGTGCCCATGAATGCTATGGAAACCATAAATCTAGAAGTGCAAGATGGAGAGACAGCCGAGGCCATGAAGCATAGAATAAATAAGGAGTTTGATGCATTGTATCCAAGAGAGTCCACCCCAACCTATGATTTGATCAAAAAAATTTATCAGCGAATGCTCAGGAACTACCGACAGCTGAGAAGGAAAAACACATTCTGAATTTGGATACTGACTCGCCAGCTTTTGTTAGGTCATATTGTACTATTAAAAAGCTACTTAGGAAGAAAAACAGCCCCAAAACTGATGATAGTTTGTCACTGATTAAGGAATTAGTTAAAGAGATTAAAAAATCTGAACCAAAGCCAGAAAAAGTGGAGAAAGCAGAAATGTTGTTTAGTGGTAATCCAAGTCCACTGCAGCCTCAGACGCAGACACAGGTGATGCAACCACAGCAGATTATACAGACTGGACAGATACAGCAGCAACCAGAGTATGAATGGCAAATGAATGGATACATGCCCTATGGAAATCAAGGACAGAGGTTCCAGACATTCCCCAGGAATAGCAGAGGTAGAGGTGGTGGACAATTTAGACAGGACAGAGATTTATCAAACATGAAGTGTTACAGGTGTGGACGGTACGGACATATAGCAAGAAATTGCAGAACGGGAGGAATGCAACACATGCAGGGTCAAGGAGGTCAGCAGCAGTTTCCATTTCAAACATACCAACAACCACAAGTGTACCAGGCACAACCACAACAGCCATACCAACAACCACAAGTGCACCAGGCACAACCGCAACAGCCATACCAGCAACCACAAATACACCAGATGTATCAGGCACCTCAACAGGTACAACCACAACAGCCAATGGTCTTGGGCCAACCACAGCCACAGTATATGACCACTCACCAGATGACAGAGTCAAGACCAGAGGTCGCTGCTCATCAACTCAGTTTATTACCGAAATGAAGATGCCGTGGTCCAGATAGAGAGGGATGCTTAACGTGGCTCCAAAATTTATCACAATAACAATTGAGGGACAGCCTCAGAAACTGTTGGTAGACACTGGAGCAACATTTAGTTCATTAAAATGCAGTCTAGAGCCCTCTCAAAAGTGGAAAATCGTATCTGGATTTAATGGTTTGGCTACAAGAGTTTTTTACTCAAAACCTCTAGACTGCACAGTTACCTATAAATCAGGAGTAAAGCAGACTTTCCAACATGAATTTCTAATAGCCCCAAACTGTCCCCACAACCTAATGGGAAGGGATTTGATAAAACTTTTGAAATTGGATATTTCTTTCCAGAATGAAATTGAAGTGTCAAATGAGTTGGGCATGTTAATACAGGATTGTGGTCTCGAAACTGAACTGTTGCTCCAGCAGGAACAAAATCTTAAAACACCAAAAATTGACGATAACATAGCCACAGTTTTTTGGCTAGAGGGTAGTGAAGAATCCAATGACACATTGCATGAACTAGTTAAGCCATTTTTGCCATGGATTACTGAGAGATGCAAGGACTTGCGGTCTCCAGTAGATGTCGTACACTGTACACAGGCATATTTTAGGCATCCAGAAGATCAACAATCATATGACAACTATTTGATTGAGTGGGAAATGTACAAGACTAGTGCATGCCAGACACAGGGAGTAGGAGATCCTAAAGTGACACAAAAGCTGAATTGCGTAGTGGTGGGAGAACATGGGGTGGCGTTTGCTAACACAAATTCAAACACAGACACACTCCCAATATTTAGGGTTGACAAATCCACACCACATGTAACAATGATGATTGAGTCCAAAGCAGAGGCCAAGAATTTAGGTCCAATGTGTGCACTGATATTGGCCAGTGATTTAAAACCAATGTGTGTGCAACAGGGACAATTACAATACATTGTACTGCATAGTGAAACCACAGGAGGTTATGTGATCAAATTCAATGACCCAATTGAATATAAAGCCACTATGCAGGAAGTACAGAGAACAAGGACACATGGCAGGGAAAATACCAATTCAAACCTATTTGAAGAGCAGAAACACACTTTACCTGAGAGGCTATGGACAAAACATGCATTTGACATCGGGAAAGCAGAGGGAATCCTGCCAATAAAACTACTGTTTGATGACCAAGTGTGTTATCAGAAGCAGTATCCCATTAAAGCAGGACTCCAGGACAAATTGAA